AGCTAGGCTATCTAGATCCGGTTGTTTTATTATTATTTTCTTTTCTTCATTGTTTTTAATATATTGATTTCACCCCATCCCCATCCCAAAATCCCAAATAAATTAGAGTTAATTTCACTTTGGGCCATGTTTTATTGCCAAAGTTTCACTTCGGACTACCTTTTGTCTAATCTTTTCACTTTGGACTAGGTATCTTTACCTTTGTTGCACAATAAACCACCCCAAACTACATTTTCAGTTCTTCGATGACTTCGAGCAAACTGTTAACGACATGCCAACAAATTTTCATACCTAAATGCTTGCCATACCTTTATTAAAAGAGACGCTAGACATCACTAATGTAAAGAGTTAGGGTGGTCCATTATACAACAAAGGCAAAGTTACCTAGTCCAAAGTGAAAAGATAGTGTAAAGGGTGGTCCGAAGTGAAACTTTAGTAATAAAACATGGCCCAAAGTGTAATTCACTCAATAAATTATCCCCAAATCCTCAAATCCTCAACTCCCCAAATCGATACATCACAGATACATCACAAATTTTACAAAATTCATCATAGATACATCACATTCACATCACACACAAATCAAATACACAAATCCGAATCACAAATTCTAAAAAGAAGAAAAAAAAAAGCTCGTTGCCGCTGCCGCGCCGGCCGCCGCGAGGCCACCCGGCCCTCCGCCGCGCCGCCCGCCACCGCGCCGCCCAGCGCCGCACCGCCCCCAGCCACCGCGCCGTCCGCGAGGCCGCCCGGGCCACCGCGCCGCCGCACCGCCCAGCCACCGCACCGCCGCACCGCCCAGCGCCGCGCCGCCCGCGAGGCCGCCCGGGCCTCCGCGCCGCCACGCCGGCACGCCGCCGGCCACTAGGCCCGTCGGCGCTCGTAGAGGAGAAAGAGAAAAATGAGGAGAGGAGTTAAAGGAGAGAAGTTAAAAGGAGAGGAGGAAGAGGAAGAGATATGGAGGAGGAAGAGATAAGGCCAGGGAGGAGATAGGATATATTAACTGCTCCTCCTCCTCGATTTGGCCTCGTACTCTCTGCCGCCCATATTGCGCATGCCGATCTTTTATTCCGGTTGGTGTTACCAACCGGGACTATAAATAGATCTTTAGTCCTGGTTGGTAACACCAACCGGGACTAAAGATAATAGGGATCTTTTATTCCGGTTGGTGTTAACCGGGACTAAAAATAGATCATTTGTTCCGGTTGGTAATACTAACTGGGATTAAAGATAAAAAAAACTCTAACCTTTTGAACCGGGACTAAAGATATCTTTAGTCCCGATTTTTATTGTAACCGGGACTATTGTGTATTTTGGCCGACCGATTAAAGATGGTTTCTCCACCAGTGTATGTCATTCCCAAGATGGTTTAAGATCAAATTAACTTACTTTAAAATTATCATTAATACTTTTTATGTACTTTGGATTGGAGGTATGGAAATCATAGATTCAAGATTTGTCTTCAACATAGGGAAGCACTGGTAATATGGTGGTGGAGTCGTGGGTGCGTGACTTCATTCACTAGGGTTCAAATCATGATGCCCACGAATATTACGCACATACAGGTGGATTTTAATAGGGCTTCAGTGAGATTAGCTAGAGATGTACTACCGCCGGTTTCCGTCTCTTAGAGCATCCGGGGTGTGAGTGTGCGTGAGTGTGCGTGTGCATTTGCTGTGCAATCTAACTATTATAAAAAAAATATATTGCTTCGTTTACTTTTCTTGGTTTATAAAGCGGCAGCTCAACCAACGAGGGAAACAAGTGTTTGCGACCATCTGAGAGAGGATATACCTAATTATCTACTTCCTCTGTTTCATAATGTAAGTCATTTTAAGATTTTTCATATTTATATCGATGTTAATGAATAGACATATAAATGTGAAAAATGCTAGAATGAGTTATATTGTGAAACGGAGAGAGTATAGAACAATTAATTATTTCCGTCTATCTCTCGTCAATCAAGAAATGGACGGCAGCTAGCAATCGAACTGTCATCCGTCGTTCGGGAATGGATCATACGTTCATACGTCGATTGATCGATCGATAAATCCAATGCAACGCAGCTACCTCCTCTATTCCCTCTAAACTACTCCTAGCTAACTAGTACATGTACTCTTTTTGTCTATAAAAACAAATATAATATGAGATGTGGTAAAAATTGTAATACTATGAATTCGAAGTGAGAATATATACCTAAAAAAAATCCAAAAAGTGCTAACTCTACGTATATATGCTATACGCTGGGACAAGCACATGAACGGCATGCTACGTGTCTCTATATACGTAGTAGCAACCGTGATAAGGTGGAAAAATATACGGTGGAAACTACCTATCACTGGTGGAGAAAGGGGCTTTACTCCCAGTTAGGAACCCCCCCTATAATCCCGGTTATACAACCGGGATTACGAATCCGGGACTAAAAATACCCATCTTTAGTCCCGGGTGAAATAACCGGGACTAAAAATCCAACCGGGACTAAAGATGGTTGAGCCACGTGACTGACGCAGGCATCTTTAGTCCCGGTTGATCTTACCAACCGGCACTAAAGACTTTTTTTTCCTCCTTCGGTTCTTTCTCTTTTATTTTTTTTTCAGTTTTTTCTTTCGTTCATATCGATTCATTCACAGTAAACATATTCATTCACAACATCACAAATACATTCACACAGATTCATTCCCAACATATACATTCACAAAACCATTCACATAAACATTCGCAAACACATTCACAAATCAACATTCAGAAATCAACATCCACAAATCATCAAAAAAGAAAAGAAAAAATCATCCACAGATCTGGGCCCGGGAGGGGTGCGAGGCCGGCCTCCATCCTACCGCCCCTTGCCCAGCCGGCCTCCCATCCCGCCGCCCCGTGCCGGGCCGCCGCTGGCCGGACTCCATTCCGTCGCCCCGCGCCCGGCCGGTGCCGGCCAGCCTCTCATCCCACCACCTCGCGCCGGGCCGCCACCAGCCGGCCTCCATCCCACCGCTGCTTCCGTCGCCGCCCGCCGGAGGGGAGGGGAGGGGAGGGGAGGAGGAGAGGATGAGTGGGGGAGAGGAGAGAAGGAGAGGATCCTCGGCACGTAAGATGGCGAGGAGAAGGGGATCAGAGGAGATGAGAAGAATAGATAGGGTGTGAGGAGAGGAGGAGAGGAGGAGATATTTATCTCGATACGAGTCACGCGTACGCCTCGATCTCTCCGCGCATGCCGATCTTTTTTCCCAGTTGGTAACACCAACCGAGACTAAAGATATTAGAGGGGTCTGACATCACCTATCATTTTTTGAACCGGGACTAAAAATGATCTTTAGTCCCGGTTGGTAACAGATCAAAAAGTAGCTCTAACCTTTTCAACCGGGACTAAAGATAATCTTTAGTCCTGGTTTTTATTGCAACCGGGACTATTGTGGAATTTGGTCGACCGACCAAAGATGGTTTCTCCACCAGTGTACACAGTAGAAACATGAAAACTATTATTGGATTGAAAAGTAGACGTCTAAAATTCATTCCGCACCTTCACAAGTAAAAAAAAATTACTCATGATGATGTGAACGAATGTCAGACTTTCATTTTCAACTCAACGGTAGTTTAAGATCAAACTTACTTTAAAATGATCATTAATAACTTTTATGTACTTTGGATTGGAGGTATGGAAATCATATATACAAGATTTGTCTTCAAAATAGGGAAGCACTATAGTAGTAGTATGGTGGTAGAGTCATGCAGCTCTTGATGCCCACGAATATTACGCGCATATAGGTAGACTTCAATAGGGCTTCAGTGAGATTAGCTAGGGATGTGCCACTCGTTTCCGTCTCTTAAAGCATCCGAGGTGTGAGTGTGCGTGTCCATCTGTTGTGTAATCTAACTATTTAAAAATAATAATATACTCCCTCCGTCCTAAAATATAACTTTTAGCCCTTAGAGCCCTTAGAGCAGGTACAATAGCAGGCTATAAGCCAGCTATAAACATATTTTAAAGAGATAAAGGAAGAGAGAAAAGAGCAGCCAGCTGCAGCACGGATTCTAAGACGTAATGTGTGTGACATATAGGACCAGTTATTAATAGTATAGTAAGCAACTATTGTATGAATTGGCTATTAAATTGGCTATTGATGTTTTGGAGCTATAATATTAAACTCGCTCTTAAGATTTGTCCCAAAATATAACAACTTCTCCACCAACATTCTCTTTCCAACTAATCACAACTCTCCACCATTCACTTTTCTCACCTACCTCCACTACTCATCCAATCATAACCCTCCACCACTCACTTCAACCTACTTTCTTAATAATCGTGTCCGACTCTAAAACTTCTTACTTAATTACCAATAGAACAATTAATTATTTCCGTCTATCTCTAGTCAATCAAGAAATAGACGGCGGCTAGCAATCGAACTGTCATCCGTCATTCGGGAATGAATCATACATTCATTCGTCGATTGAACGATCGATAAATCCAATGCAACGCAGCTACCTCCTCTATTCCCTCTAGGCTACTACTAGCTAACTAGTACATGTACTCTTTTCATTCTATAAAAACAAATATGATATGAGATACGATAAATTCTAATACTAGGAATTCGAAGAGAGAATATATACCAAAAAATCCAAAAAGTGTGAACTCTATGTATGCTATACGCTGGGACAAGCACATGAACGGCATGCTACGTGTCTCTGTATACGTAGCAACCGTGATAAGGAGGGAAAATATACGCTGGAAAGTGGAAACTACCCATGTAGTAGAAATATGATAACTATTGTTGGATTGAAAAATAAACGTTTGAAATTCATCCACGTCATCACAAGTAAAATAATTTACTCATGATGATATGAATAAATCTTCAGACTTTCATTTTCGACCAACGGTAATTTCTAGGTTTCTACTGTATATGTGATTTGCATGTATATTTTCTTGTGATAAGTAACGTAGTATGTGTCCTTATATGTCTTTTATACACTTAGGGCTACTTTAAAACACATGATTAAAAACCAGATGAATAGAAAAAATATACATAATTTTGATGGGAATACATATGTAAAACACATGAAACAAAACTAATAAGAGAGAGAAACAAAGAATATATTTTTCACGAGATTATAGCACTTGCTAACTTTTTACCAACGTGTATACAATGTTGTGCACAATTATGGACGGTACACTCTGAACCTAGTTCTCCCGACTTATATATAGTGAACCACAAAATCTTGCACTCACTACAAGAATCCATAATTTTCATGGCGACCAACTAATTTCTTTGGCGGCCAAAAAAAACAGCCGGCGAGTTTAAATATATTTTTGGCGGTTTCAAGAGTTCATAATCTTCTTAATTTGCTTAGCAGTCCGACCACCAATAAGACATTTCCTTATGGTTAGTCGCCAAGAAATCTTAATATCGTTGACTTTCTAGACTTAGCAGTGTTTACTTGACGGTAGGCTAATGGAATAATTAACCTTGACGGTTTCTTGACCGCTAAGAAAATTATGGATTCTTGTAATGTTTGTAAACTTCCTAATTAACCAAGGGCAAGATACATAATTCAAGACATGACCAAAATGCAGGGCAAATTCGCTTTTGATCTGCATTATATTTGAAATCAATACATAATTTGGCATAGATGGATCAATACGTACGGTTCCAAACATTTCTTCGACGACGAACGTTTGTGATGGCGTGCATGCACGAGAACGGGAAAGCAGTAATTAATTGGAGATCTAGTTAATAATAAGAGTGATTAAAGAGCGTTTTATTGCGTTGTCCCCATATTTGTCCTTTCATCAACTTTAGAACAAACATAGCAGAGCAAGTATGGTACTACAGTACTCAACGGTAGCTAGAAAGCTGCTAGTGGGTACTGTAGTACCAACGCACAGCTGCACTTATCCTACTTACTTCCCCTTTCTATTTCCTTCACCAAACCATATATATACTTTGATGTTCAGATCTTAGCACGGCCAACAGACTAATAACGGCAAGAAGTTATTTTAGGAGTAATTAAGCTAAGAGATTAATTCCTAATGTAAAGTTGGGAAGCATCCAACCACTCGATCAGCCTCATTGCTTATGCTTATCATCCAGAATTTGAATTTCCAACCTTAATTTAAGTTGATTTAAAAAAAAATTTACCGTAGTTTATTTTTCAGTTTTTTGCTTTTAGATCGTTAAGAACACGTATATAAAAGTTGTATTCACAAATTATTTTTCATTTGTAAATATGTCGTTTCGTTTTTTCCTCCGTCATCTGAAACGATGGGGTTGGATGTCCCTCGATCAGGTTCCAAGCTAATGAAATCAGTTTCCTAGCATTAGCTACTAGGTTTCATTTTGAGTGCCAGCATGTAGTAGTATTTTTTTTTCCAAAGCTACTTGGCAGACCTTTTGCTTAAAAGACAAGACATTTTAGGTAGCTAGCTGCTCATAAAACCTCCTCTAAAGGATCCCTTGGAATGTAAAAATTTTATAGGGTGTTCAAGGAATCTTCCTTAAAAAATCTTTCATTTAAGGGCTTGTTTGGTTTAAAGGAAAGTAAAGGATTTGATTTCTTAAGAATTAATTCCTATGAGCTTGATTCAATTTGTAGGAATGAAGTATAGGAAAACCCAAGAAAATTTTTCTTTCCTACAAGTTGTAGATAATAATTAAACGTAGGAAATTTTCCATTCACTCAAATCTTTTAAAAAAATTCCTATGAAGTGCATGCATTTATATTCCTTCATTTTTTTGTTCTATTCCTATGGGTTAAAATTCCTCCAAACCGAACAAAAGCCGAAAGCTAAATGTGACTTATATAATCCTAAAACAAAACGTTCTCCCAAGCACCACCCATTTACTCTACATGTCCGCCCTTTCTTACAGCCCCCGCTTCATTGCAAACTACAGTAACCCTCTCTATATATCCACCACCCTCCTATGCCACATAAGTTCTAACATCTTGCTTTTTAATCTACTACTCCCTTTGTTCCACATTGTAAGGTGTTTTAGTTTTTTTCAAAGTAAAAAATATAAATTAGACCAAGTTTTTAGGAAAATAATAAACACCTATAGTGCCAAATAAATACACTATCAAGATATATTTCATGGTCAATTTTTAATAATCTAATTTGATGTAATATGTGTTGGTGTACTTTCCTATAAGATTGGTCGAATTAGGACAAAACTAAAACACCTTACCCTACAATGGAGGGAGTAATAGTAACAGTTAAGGAGAAGCATGATGCAAGAAAAATGCTGAGACTGAAATTGTAAAGCAAAGAGTGTACGCCATATCACCATACGTAGAGTTGCAGAGTACTTGTGCCGCAGATGGTGACAAATGTATCATCATGATCATAGTCATCGATTGACGAGGTCCACACCAGTTCATCAGACACCTGGTATAGCAGACCAGAGAGCAAGATACACCGGCCGGCCAGCTTCCGATATCCCGCTAAGGTCCAGAATTTTGCCGGGAATAATTCATGGAACGATCATGATCGATAATATATTTCTATCTTGCAAAAAAATATACAAAAAAAATGTTAGAAACAAGATAAAGAAAAATGAAAAATGGCACATGAACACAAGACGTATCTCAGGTACAGAGAAAACTAGAGATAAAATCGCTTGACAAGCTTCAAATGATCAAGTGAGGCCTGTTTAGATCCCACGTCAAATTATTTCACCATATCACATCGAACGTTTGAACACCTACATGAAGAATTAAATATAGGCTAAAAATAACTAATTGCACAGATTGTGACTGAATTGCGAGACGAATATTTTAAGCCTAATTGCACCATGATTTGATAATGTGGTGCTACAGTAATTCGTCTCGCAGTTTACTGACGGATTCTGTAATTAGTTTTTTTATTAGTGCCCGAACACCCATGTGACACCTTATATAATATCTGATGTGACACGCCAAAACTTTACAGCACCCCCTGAATCTAAACACCCCCTTACATTATTACTAGTACATGATCATATTTCTGACTCTGTACTTTTGCTTTAAGTGGTTTGCAGGAGGAAAAGTACTACAGAGTGTCAGAAGAAGATATGAGACAGAAGCTTCTTATCCAGTAAGAACTCTGGCACAGATGTCTGTGGAGCCAAAACAGTAAAACCAATGCTGCACTGTACATACCTGTTCCTCTCATTAATTAATCAGTCGACAGGGGCAACGAACTTCCATCAATCTGAATCACTTTTACAGAACACATCTGTAGCAGCAAAGGACAGTTGATTAGTGAAATATGACGAGCCGCCAATTATTGCAGGCAGACTGTTCAGATACTTCAATGTTGATACGGTGTACGAAGTACTCTTGCCATGAAATGGGACTGCAAGCCTGTAAATAGATCAAAGGTCATAGTCAGGAACACCTCATATCCGTAGAAATACAGAATCCAGGCTGGATCATGTCCATTACAAATTACATACTAGAATTTTCGGACTTACATAAAGGAGTGACATGCATACAGAGAGCATAATTCCTCAAATGTGCGAAGAGAGCAAAAAAAGAAACAGACCACACCTCAAACTTATTACAGTTTATACGTTACACAAATACTTCAATGGCAAACAAGATGCGTGAAACAACATGTAGCTGCCAAACAGAAAAGGTAACAAATATGTTGGGATAGCCACAAAAAGGTGAACTTGCAGACTATACGAAGCACAAGAATTCAGTTATTTGATCAATGAAAGATTATAGGCACAAAGAGTAGAGTGTTACTCTTTGCTCCTACTTCATCTTCCTGATGTCTGCTACTTCTGAATAAAATATATTATCATGTTCTGCACCCAGTAAGGAGTTACTTCTAACTGTATCATGAAGAAATATAAACGTGTCAGAAAATATTAAAAAATATAAATGATTCACCAGCTAAGAGCGTCGAGCAACACTCAGCAGTGAGCACACACCATCATCATAACCAGGCTGTGTACATGGAGCTACCTTAGACAAGCTTAAATGCCAACCAACTCCAAGCAGTCCCAGATCAAAAAGCTCATGACAACGGAAAACTTGAAAAAGAAAAAAAAAACTTTACAAGTCTTAACCAAAAAAACTCTAAATTTACACACACACACACACACACACTAAAGGCAACACATTCTTACACATTTCAAACTCCAGTTCTATAGCGCAAAACAAGACTTGAGTGTTGAAATATGAAGAAAGTTTCCCAATAAGACGAGAGAAAACTGAACACGTCATCACAAATAAAGCACGAGATATTCCCAAACGCAGTTTGCAGCATAAGTCTTGCCATATGAGACGCCTAGTTAAGAACAACGTCCATGCATCCACTGGCACTCAAAGCTCATGACTGGACCATATCCACACCCCACCATAGCTGTGGAAGAATTATGGCCATGGAGTTGATCTGACACAAATGCACAATTGCTTTGCAGAACAACTAGCCTAGCTTATACTAATGCTCTAGGAGCTAATGTGCTAATGTGAATCAACCCGGGGTTGCCCCACAATTAATGTGGCTACCATGGGCGTAGGTGAGAGTGTTAATTACCAATGTCCTAGCAGAGAAGGTGGTTATGCTAATACCCGCACAGTTCACCGACAGCCCCCACTGCGGGCCTTGTGGACTGGACCACCTTCACCTTCAGTTGCCCCTCCCCTGAATTCTCTCTTCACCTCTACTACCTCTGTCCCGAAATAACTTTATTTTTCACCTATCCCGTACATACCAATACAAAGACAAAAATACCATAATGTCCTCTATTTTAACAAATCACAATGCAATTTTACCCCACTTTAACAAACTCCAATGCATTTGTCTCCCACTTCCATAGATTCAATATAATGATTTACTTAAAAGATAAAAGTTATTTTGAGACAAATAAGATGGTAAAAAATGAAGTTATTTTGGGATAGAGGGAAGTATCTCCAGTCCTGCCTTACTTTTATCCCTTGGCACACACCTGCTAGTTGCTACTGCTTGTGAACCCAGCCCTTGGTGATGTTCAGTGAAAACTAGGCCAAACACAATCTCTTTGATTCTCTCTTTCTATCTCTGTATCTCTGATACGTACTATTTGACCACCTATACGTCTCACCACATTTAACGCGGCACTGTAGACGCAAGTACAGGCCGCAGCAGTTTATATTCACTCAAACAAGTGCTTTCCTCCTCCCCCACACCTCCTCCGTTCAGTTCAGAGGCGCCTAGCAATAGCAGCTCATTGCCTCATCTCTGCCTCCCCTGTCCTTCTGGGGGCAGAGAATCTCTCCACTGCTGGAAAAATGGTACAGCCAAAGAAGAAGTTTCGTGGAGTCAGGCAGCGGCACTGGGGCTCCTGGGTCTCTGAGATCAGACACCCCCTCCTGTAAGCTCTTCTATCAACATCCCTCTAATTTTCTGCTAATAATGTTATGTTTTGATGTGTCTAATACTCTAATCTAATAAGTAATAAGTCTCAATGCATATGGTGTTTGCAACTAATGCAGTAAAAGGAGGGTGTGGCTGGGCACCTTTGAGACGGCCGAGGAGGCTGCGCGAGCCTACGATGAGGCTGCTGTGCTGATGAGTGGCCGCAACGCCAAGACCAACTTCCCCGTGCAGAGGAACTCCACCGGTGATCTCGCCACGGCCGCAGACCAGGACGCCCGTAGCAATGGCGGTAGCAGGAACTCCTCCGCGGGCAACCTGTCACAGATTCTCAGTGCTAAGCTCCGCAAGTGCTGCAAGGCGCCATCTCCGTCCTTAACCTGCCTCCGCCTCGACCCCGAGAAGTCCCACATTGGCGTGTGGCAAAAGCGCGCAGGGGCCCGTGCTGACTCCAACTGGGTGATGACGGTGGAGCTCAACAAAGAGGTAGAACCAACTGAACCTGCAGCTCAGCCCACATCAACAGCAACAGCTTCGCAAGTGACAATGGATGATGAGGAAAAGATTGCGCTGCAAATGATCGAGGAGTTGCTGAGCAGGAGCAGTCCAGCTTCACCCTCACATGGAGAGGGAGAGGGTAGCTTTGTCATCTGAAAGGCTTGGATGAAACGACGGCATAACGAAGTCACCACTCTAGACCATGGTTCCAGAATTTCCTGCTGGTACACAGGCAGTTCAGATTACTTCAGTACAATAGAAAATATCTATTACTTCAGACAAGTAACAAGACATATAAGTTTGCAACTATGTGTAGCTATATGTGTTTATGAAAAGCTATATATACGCAGTCTCCATCAACATACTTTGTTACACATCAATGTCAGTTATATAGTTTCTCATAAAGGAAATAAATAGATTGTTATTCTGTGTTAGTGTCCATCTTTTGTTCAGATGCCAATGTTGGACTCTGTCAACAAATCTCAAGAATATGATGAAGGTGATATTTGTGAAAAAGACCCGCTTTAAACGACATAATGATTCAAAAGGACCATGGACTTTTTTATATAACAAAATATATATGAGAAGAAAACACCAATTGCTTTTGTGTATTTATGCCAGCTATATATGCATTTATTGTGAGAAAATACAATTATAAAGCAAATAAGACAAAATAAAAGCAGCTAAAGTGATATAAATGAACACACAGTCCTTCCATTGTCTCAACTAGCATGTCACTTTTTATCAACCAGTAAATGAGTAATTCTAGCCTTTCTAGGCTCTATGAACTTAGATAAATGAATGAAATTCAGTGAGGACAATTAGATGCAAATTAGTTTGCTAAAAGTAAGTCATCTATATTCGATGCTTGGGTCTCTGGTGATACCATTCCATATGCATATCAAGGGCAACACATTCTGAATGACAATGTACCATTCTGCATTACCATAACAGAAATGAGGAAAGATTTCTTTTCCGATACTTCTTTATGCCAATCTTGTGTCCATGTGTTGATATATAATAACATGACCAACATCATGTAACCATCAAATGCTAAACTAAGGGTGTGAACTATGGACTAAATGCATGGACCATCAACAGATTATTTGAGTACAGGTGTACAGCAAACACCTCAAAGGCCTTTAAGTTGTATTTCCCCTCATTCAATAAGGAAATGCAACATGAATGATATCCATGTTAGGCTGCCATCAAGATAATCGAAACATTTGCCTTCAGACAAGGAGCATCTGGTATTAGCCTTGAAATGATAATTATGACATAGACCAAAAGAAAAGGGCAGCTCAAGGCCTCAAGCTCATGTCATTTATGTGCTAAAAAGACAGACATCTAAGAAGCTGAGTCAGTGAAACTAGATTACATACTGGTTAGTGGTTATCATCCCCATTCAGTACTTTGGTAGTTAAGAGCCATTCGGCAATCATTGGCAACTACAAGAAAATACTGAAACGGGTGAACCTTAATATTAATGGTCTGGGATTTTCAGTTGGGATTCTAACTCAAACACTAGCAAGTAAAAGAAAAGTTCATATATACTACATACGTATAGATATTGAAACAGCAAACGATAAGTATAAAGATAGACAATGAGTAATGAAGAGCAAGGTCCCCTACATTTCTTTTCTTTCCAAGCTTCAGAGCAAGAACACATATGAACGACAAAAGAAACAAGTATCAGCACTGTAATTGAGGTTTACAGGTTGGGGGAGCATATCCTATACACACAGGCCCTCGCGTGTACACACCGTGTACACCAACTAAAAATTATCACAAAAAATTCTAGGAAAATTCATACATGTACTTTCAATAGTATTACATCTATGTGCAAAGTCGCATCTTCAAATTCATTCTACATAGAGAATAAAAAAAAGATAAAATTCTGACAAAATTGCAACCTTAAAACTGTCAGATTTTTTGTTTTTTTTGTTACGGCTAAAATATAATGAATTTGACGTTAAGATTTTAACCCTAGGTGTAATACAATTGAAAGTATGTGTATGATTTTTTCTAGATTTTTTGGTGATATTTTTTAGTTGGTGTGCACGTGTGTACACGTGAGGGCCTGTGTGCATAGGATATGTTGCCTACAGGTTGGTGCAAGGCATGCAGTCAATGCATAAGGGCCCAATTCAGTTAGTTGATCAAGCCTAATGTACGACTGTATAAAAAAAACAGAAATAATAAACATAGAAGGAAACTAGCTGCCAACCATAGCTGCTTCACAACAAGTACTAGTGAACAAATGGCATTACATTCATTGTACATAACATGACAAAATAGAATTTGAGTAAAGACCTATATGTCTATGAAATATAGCAAACTTATTGAATTTGGTTTCTTATATTACTTAGGTTGCTCCTTTTTTATCATCACCTCTCTATACCAAATGGAAACTTTTTAACTTGTGTCTGACTGACTCTTGTGCTCTCCCATTTACCCTTAATCATAAATCCATGTTTTATACCGGTTCTGTTTGATGACCTCATTTCATTCGGTAGGCAGTTATTTATGCATTGATAATTTTCAAAAGCTTCTATAATTACTGCCACTGTTTCAAATCTCAGACATATTTGTTGCAACAACCAAAATTTGTAAACCTATTTCTTCAGCCAGTGCAGGTAACATTATTTGCCTTATTTCTAAGTCATTGTTCTATGCTCTGACTAGCAGTGTATTGTCTATGCATAATTCTAGCATCAAGATTTAGAAGTGAGATGAACACCCAAAATTTTCCACTAATCTGCGGTCAATATTTTTTCTGGTACCACATTAGCTGGTCAATGAACTTCCATATTGCGAAAGGATGCAATAAATTTGTCTCGCCTAATAGCTGTTATGGACTTCTGGTCCCCAACATTAACTCCATCCTTTGCTTCAATCCTATTCAAATCAATCAGTGATATCATCTTAATTAAGATAGTAAAGCATACAGTGTTAAGTTACTTGCTCTGTAGCAGTGATAATAGTTATATAATGGATCTACCTGAAAAGATTCAAATAAGCTGACAAATCAAATCACATTTAAAATAAATCATGTTCTAGTTGAAGTATGCTAGAATACAGTTTGCAGCACCAGCAGGTATTGAATTAATTGACAGAATATGTTATAAGTTGTAATGGCTGTAAAGAATCATATTAAAAGAAATACTGTGCACAGCCTTGGTAAATTAGAAAAAAAAGCACCTGACAGCAGTTCCCAAGTCCACAAGACCACAACCCATCAGACCAGGCTCCCCAAATCATGAACTTGGTGTAAAGGAGCAAAGAGAAAGCTATGCAAAGCCTGCAACCAAGCCAATGTTGTCAATGCAGCACAACTGTGGCATAGATAGATGACAGCAGTGTGGAACTGTGGATTCTCATGACAGGTTAAGTAGTAATCAGAGTGATTAGCAGGGAGAAGGGTGGAGGCTGCAGGGTGGTGGTCAGATGAAGTTAGGCAGGTGCAAACCATGTGGTAGTGGTGCATACAAAGATGGGCTGTGGCAACCATCAGCTCCAATGGCAAAATTTCAGCCGATTCAACGGGGGGCTATACATAGCAAATCAATACATGATCCTTCGTGCTGCTACTTAGTCTAAATGCAGGGGTGGCCATGGCCAATGTTGTCCTCTCTAATTCTCCGCCTCTTGTCAGTATATTGAGATTGATATAGGGTTTCCACAGCCCAAAATCTAGGATTACCAACATCAGAGAGTTAGCCACCATCAACACAGCTTACTAGGACCTCATGTCCCATGCTCAGTGTGTCCTCAACAATGCTTGATCGCCACAGGCAGAGCAAGCGTCAAAACTCCATCTCCATATCTGCACATCATGCTACCTTTCCTGCCAGGGCAAACCAGGCGAGTTGAGTGACAATACCACCAGTGTCAGCTTCACTAGATCTGTTGCTAGTGCCACCTTGCCAGACTCAAACCTTAGCCTGCCACATGATTTGGGGGAGGATGTTCTGTGTGAATGTGGGTTGAGGAGGGGGAGACAGATCTTCACAACTTAGTAAGGCTGTGGGCAGGGTTTCTGAAATTTTACATTGAAGTTGGAGAGGAGTAAGCCATCTAGACTTGTGCTGTTCTCCCACAATTGTGCAGCTCACAAGGGATAATTCCATGATTAATCCTAAGTGCCCTACATGATAGTTGCATGTGATATGTTGCTTTTCATATGGGTAGCATGCTTGCGCTTATAACAATCACAACATGCTCCCCACGCATACATCAAATATGCAAGAAGCAAACAGCAAATAATATTTTTAAAAAACTGGAAATTTTCCACAAGGGTTTGAATCAAATGTGAAAAAAAGTCTAGCTAGATTAATCACCTATCCAACATTACGATAGGCACGAGCCGACCCACAAGTCCTCCTTGACCCACTCTAGTTCAACTAAATGAACTAAAATATCATGGATCAGCCTGCGCTCATCCCTATCCAGCAAGTTAAACTGCCATATTTAACACAGCATTCTTTGGTCAGCAACAAGCTCCAGACAGCTTATCAACCTAATCTATACCTTTGGTATGAGTACCACTACCACTAAAGTCTAGGATCCAACCTGCCTCATTCAATAGGGTTCAGTAGTATAATAATGTGGCCCCAGACTTCTGGTATTGTTCAAACTTTGCTAATTATATGTGCAATTAAATTGTTTATTGATGCTTGATTTATCTATATAATGAGATATTTATTGCCCATACTTCTCTTTGGAATTGAATTATTGAACACAAGTAATATTGAACCTGAACAGAATAATCAATACTTAAGGAGCTTTCAATAATTTTTCCAATTCAGTGGAGTCTTCCTTCATTCAAGTTATCAAATGCACTCACTTCCCATTGTTGCTCCAGGACCTTAAATATTAAGACTTCATTTTCAACCCTACTGGACATTTGTCTAGCTGAGTTTGGCGGCAGAAGAATTTATGGGAGATAGTATTCTGCGAGTATATGAGGAAGACGACACCAAAGTTAATTGGCGTTTGACATTAAATTTGCTACTAGAGATTATTTGGAGGGTGGCTAAACTACTCATAAAAGCAGTTAAAACCCCAGCAGAAAAAATTACATAGAATGCTGGAGAACTCTTTATTTAGTAGGTGAAGACATCTGTGCAAATGTAGCATTTAACTTGGCAAATGACCCAGTAAAAAATGATTCAAATGAAAGCATAGAAAGTAAAATACGTGAACCAGAGCCTGAAAGCCATAATGTAAGAATGAACAGTGCAATCAAAGGATATGCAAGCAAATCCATTGGACAGAGCCTTTTTAACTTACAATTTGCTGACATTTACATGTGCCATAGATTCTTTTACATTTGCCACGTACGCTGATTTCATGACTTCATGTACTTGCCCTGAGAAATCGTGTTGGCTCAGGAAAAGCCTGGAAATTTGACAAGATTGAATTCTAGACATATCCAACTTATCCACCAGAGATGATAAGATGCATTTGCATTCCCATGAAGATAAAAACATAGCTAACATTCCAGGTAGGCATACAATTTTTCCATCCTTAAGAAAGATTGACCGCCACTCTGATATTTACCCTGGTCAAGAATGTCACCTAGACTTCAGCTTTCTCTTCTTACCACCACCAAGGGGTATACCGGTTGTGTATTTTGAATTTGCAAGTTCCCTGGGAATTGGAGCACCTGCAGTCTTCAGAATCTGAACAAGCTCTCTGAAAAGATTCCTGTCCTCCTCATTAACAAAGACAATAGCCATACCCTCCACACCCATTCGAGATGCTCTTCCAACTTGGTGAACATATTCATCAATGGAATTTGGCATGTCAAATAATATCACCTGACGAACTTTCAGGAGATCCATTCCACGTCCCAATACCCCAGTACAAACAACAACAGACACTTCTCCTGTGAGAAACCTTCTCAAGCTTTCTCTTCTCTCATTCATTGTCTTATCACCATGAATAGAAACCACCTTCAATCCAGTAGCAACAGTAATTGCTTCGGACAACAGATCAGCGCCAATTCTAGAACTCACAAAAACAACAGCGGGAGGTTTAAAGTGCTGTTTACTTGTCATTATCTCAAAAATTTTCTGCTTCTTCTGCTTAGACTCCACCCAAATGACCACTTGTTTAACTGATTTGTTTGGTCTGCTTGGATTTCCACAAGAAATATGTATCGCATTCTTAGCCAGTGAGTTTGACATCTTCTCAACTTCTGAATTTACAGTTGCCGAAAACATCATAACCTGGGGATGCGAAAGTGCTTGGAAGATTTGCATGACCTGATCTCTGAATCCCCTCTCTAGCAAGCAGTCCACCTCATCCAAAACGAATACATCAACTTTGTTAAGATCAACATTGTGCTTCATGAGTAGATCAATTAGCCTCCCAGGGGTGCCAACAATCAACTCGATGCCATTTTCAATCCTGTAGATTTGCTGAGCCAAGGGATCTCCACCAACAACTAGAGCAGTCTTAAAAGGTAAACCCTTTCCAAGCACTTTTGCTTGTTCTTCCACCTGCAGACATAGCTCTCTAGTTGGAGCAAGGACTATAGCTAATGGCCCTTGCTTGTCTGTGCATCTCTCTGATCGCACGTGTGAACAATGTGCAATTATGGGAACAAGAAAAGAAGCTGTTTTCCCTGAACCAGTATCAGCAGAGACAAGTAAGCTTCTATTACATATTGATGAAGGGATGACTTGCATTTGCACTGGAGTAGGCATTACATATCCCGCAGCCTCAAGATTGAGCACAAGCTTCTCAGGGAGACCAGAGGAAGAAAAACACATGATTGGATCTGGAACATCCTCACCCTTGACACAAATATCAAGTTTGCTTCTCAGTGAAGCAATCTGACCATCGTGCATACTTGGTATTTTAGGAAAATTTTCGTCCCTAATACAGAAGCTCTCGTCGCCAACAGGAAGATTTACACGCTTTGCTGCTTTTACTACTGGCCTTGTTTCAGCAGAAAGTTTGGAAAGAAGAATTGTCTTGCATTCAACACTACATATGTCATCGTCAGTCTGATCACATATGTATTCACCATATCGGCCACAAATAACACAGCGAGGCTCCCCAACAAGGGCTTCTCTCTGCTCAAAACACCTTTCCTTTACAGATGATTCTGTAATAAGGAAGAAAATATATCAGTTCACTGATTGAAATACAAGGAACAGACAGAAGATCTGCAGTTCTTATAACACAAAGGAGGTGCATGTGACACATTCAGCCAGCATGAAACATTTACTCTTTCAAAAGATGGCAGTGGTTGTGACTGCATTTTTTCAATTGGCCCTCAAAGTATTAGCTCAAATTTAGCATGGAAAGGTCCAAGAGGACTGAATTGTCACGCATATAACAAACTGAAAAAAGAACACATTCATTTGATTTGGACAATATTAGAATATGTATGGTTAATTTTTGTTCTTAGAAATGACGGGGCATGTTTTGCAGAGGATGGCATTTTGTTTGTAAGAATAAAGAACAATAGAAGTACATAAATGGATAAACAATATGGCCATCAGCCAATAAAGCAAAAGGAAGAAGAAAAGAACAGTAGGCATAGAACATGAGCTTTTGTGATTGGATTTCTTGAACTAATTCCTGAGACATTTCGTTGAAAACAAACTTGCCTATTTCCTTCTAAAGTTTCTCGAGGTTCATGAAATGCATTTTCTGTAAAGAAAATCCTTTGTCACGTTTTTTTCTGCTATTTATTTCATTATTTGTGCATGAACAATGCATACTCAATTTGTGCGGTTTTTACATCTGTACGAATTGAAGAATAGTACAGCCCAAGTACCTTCCAATTCGTTGCCATTACCAGGTTGAGCAGACAAGTGATCAGCTGAATGATTCTCTTCTTGCTCCATTCTATTGATGTTGGAAGATAAATCCACAAAACTGCACAGAAGAAAAGAAAAAAATTTCAGCTGAGACACCTTAAAGTTGAACCTTGGCAAGGCTGTGCATGCATCATAACCAGCATTTCATTTATTTTCATCAGAAACTAGTAAAAGCGAGTTTGCGCACTGGATGTTTATCAGGGGCGGATCCAACTTGGGACATTGGGGTTTCAGTTGAACCCCCAAACTTTTTGGGGGAACAAACAAACTGTTACTTGTATTAAGGTTAAGGTTCTGAAATTAAGAGAAGAGCTTCTTCCAAATCTATAAGAGAAGCTAGGGTTTACGCAAAGCAAATTCCAGACAAAAGTAGTCCCGATGGGAGAGAGATGAATCAGAAAGAGGATGTGGATGGATGCTCACCAGGATCCCCTCCCCTCCCCTGCTCTGCTCGCCGGATGGAGATCGGCGCCCCTCCCCTGTTCAGCCGCGCGCAACTCGTCTTGGCGCGCAAGGAGCGGAGGAGACGACGAGACGGGAGATTTCTCTTTCTTTTACGCCGAGGGAAGGAAGGGGAAGATACTCCACCGTTTTATCTTAAATTTTTCACTTTAAAACTAGCTTACGTTATCTAATCTTTACAATGATTGTTGGCCCACACGTTAAAAAAATACAAGCTCGGTTAGGAATTGTATCGACGGTAAACAAAACCACCGGCAACCATTAGCTACCGCTCCACACACCATCACTATCGCTCTTTATCCATGAGCCACCATCGTTCCTCATCTCCGCCTTCGTATGCACAGTCATATCCTCTAGCCATCAATATTTGCCTTCTCCTCCTCGTTCGTTATATATGCTATTGTCATGATCGTCGTTGAGGCCAAAGATGTCGGGCTTGCAGGAACTCGAAGAGGCAGGAACCGACACGATGGAGAGCGAACACGCTAGATCTAGGCTCCTTTTTACTGGATCTGGTGGTTCCCCAACTATTGGAGGGAAAAAGAAAAAGGGGAGAGAGAGAGAGAAAAAGGGGAGAGAGAGATAGTGTGCGAAGTTTGTGGCAAAGTCACTGGACTTGCTGGACTTGGAGGTGGAGCGGCGGTGAAGTCATTGGACTTAAAGATGTATAGAATGGGGGTAGTTCGAATTGAAATAAAAATGTAAAGTTAGCTGTCGTTAAATAAACGATGATATAATATGAAAATTTTTAAGTATTTTATTTTTCTGCAGCACAATTAAAGATGAGTTGTCCATATCTAAACAGTATGATTGGACCGTTCTGTCAGGGTTACGGGTTGGGTATACCCTTTACCCTTCGATATACGTTACATATCGATATGGCATACCCACGCTCATGCGGATATTTCCTATATATTCTAAGGAAACATTTCACGGAATCTACAGACGGGAAGAATCCTACTCGGACAGAACTGGGTCGTTGGCGTATCGTATAGGGTCTGATACCTCCGACTTCTACGTGGAGACCTCCAGATCTGCGATATAAAAGGGACCCCCCGGGGAGGGTTTAGGGCATCGAATCTCAGAGCCAACACAACCTACACAGCCTACGAAGCCGGAGCCTACGAGGAGCCAAGTCATCGAGAGCTAGTTGAAACAACTTGACTACAATCTCGCCGGATCCGACAAGTTCCCTTGTTCCCTTTGTAACCTGTGTTTTCTACCATATAATCCCACATCAACTGGATTAGGGTTATTACCTATCAAGGGGCCTGAACCAGTATAATTCTTGTCTTTTGTTTGCTTGATGTCGTACTACGTAGATCCTTGTACCAACGTACCCCAATACCCTCTATATCCGGTCTACGGATATCACCTGTTGACACGTTCTACTTAACTACTACTGATAATCTCATGATATGTTAATATTCGAATACTGATTTCAGCTAATATATAGTTAGATAGAATCGGCTAAAAACATATAATAATAATAATAATAATAATAATAATAATAATAATAATAATAATAATAATAATAATAATAATAATAATAATAACAATTTTGCTCGTGAGAAGCAACAAGTAGCATGCACCCGCGAGCTTACCTTGTACTCCCTCCGTATTTTAATGTATGACGTCGTTGATTTTTCGATCAATGTTTGACTATTCGCTTTATTCAAAATTTTTATGTAAATATAAAAATACTTATGTCATGCTTAAAGAATATTTGATGATGAATCAAGTCACATTAAAATAAATGATAATTACATAATTTTTTTTAATAAGACGAATGGTCAAACGTTGGAAAAAAGACAACGGCGTCCATGAAGGTAGTAATAACCTTGCGCCGTAGCACGCCTACGGACGACCACGAGCCGCCGGCGATGGCGGTGGCGGCGGGTCGGCGAGAGACCCATTAGAAGGCCCAGCTAGGACATGTGGTGAGATTTTGCGAGTTTGGGCTGGAAAATTACTTCCGGGCCGAATAAAATGGGCTTTCTTTTTCAAAAAATGGGCCTGTATACCCGCCCTCCAGTCTATTGGTCGGCCTGCCAAAGAAGGCCTAATTGGGAATTATGCCTAGGCTAGTTCCTATTCTCTTTTTTGTTTTTCAACTTTGCTTTCTGTTTTTTTTTTAATCGGATTCTTTGTCTTTGAGGTTCGTCCAGATTGTACTTTAATTCTTTATTTTTCCTCTCTTCCATCGATAGCAATCGGCGGGGATGTAGAATCGATGGATGCGGTGAACAAGAAGGCACAATTTGCTTTTTTACCATGCTCTTTTCTATGTTACTTTTTGTTTTACTTAATATGGGCATGTTTGGCATAGCTATAGCTTCAGCTCAGACAAACAGTTTTAGTTCCACCTAAAATGGAAGCGGAGCTAGATGAAGCTCTCTCACAAAATAAACTAAAGAGGTAGAGCTAGGTTTAGGCAGCTCTATAACTCTACTCCAGACCCAACTCCTGAAGCTAAATTTAGAAGTTAGAGCTCTACCAAACAGGCTCTATAAATCATATATAAGATGTCATAGGGAGTCTTTGTTAATAATAAAAAACAAGAAAGATTTACCACGCGTGCATATTTCTAGAGTAAATCCAAGAAAGATTCAATGAGCAGATAAGCATGTAACCAGAGATGCAAATACTCCATTCATCCCAAAATATAAGGCATAACCATTCAAAACACAAAGACCAAGAAAATATTTAATCATCTTCTTAGTTGAATCATATTGATGCATGCAAGCAATGTGATTGGGAGGTTTGATGGTATAAGATTTAAAACAAATCAATTTTATAAGACCAAGAGATGATAGTTAATGTATGCATGCATGTACGCTTTATATTACTCCCTCCATTTACTTTTGATAGTCATATTTCTAAATCTGAAAAATTTATTTTTGGTAGGCATATTTCAATTCAACAACCTATCATCTTAATGACTTTCTCGGATTTAATGCATGACTCTTCATTCTTCCACACAAGATTGGCTACATGGGCATCGAGAAATGTAAATATTAATGAATCGCTTGTTTACGATGAATGACTAGTACTCCCTCCATCTATTTTTGATAGACATATTTTCAAATCTAAAAAAATTACTTTTTACAGGTATATTTCAATCCAACCACCTTTCCTCTTAATGACTTTCTCGGATTTAATGTGTGACTCTCCATTCTTCCACACAAGATTGGCTACATGGGCATCGAGAAATGTAAATATTAATGAATTGCTTGTTTACGAGAAATAACTAGTAGCTTGTTTAAATGGATGATAAGTAAAACTACTTATCCTTGGTCATCGTGCCAAGATAAAATATGACTATTAAAAGTAGATGGAGGGAGTAGCATGTTTAAATGAATGATAAGTAGAATTATTTATCCTTGGTCTGTGTGACAAGATGAAATATGACTATCAAAAGTAGATGGAGAGAGTATGAGACATGAGAGAAAAGTGGTTGTGCCTTATATTTTGGAATGGATGAAGTACAGCCTACTGAAGCTAACCCTACAACTTTTCACCATTATAAGCTCTATTTAGAGGCTTAGAGCTGAAGACTCTAACAAGCAGCAGTTTAGTGAGTAGTTAACTGATTAGAATTTAGAGACTTCTAGCTTTTGGTTGTTTTGCGAGAAGACGTCTCTCCACTTCTAGCTTTTGGTTGTTTTGCGCTGAGATTCTCAGAAGCAGTCGATACGTACATCGCCAGTTGGTAAGAGTATGAAAAAGCTAAATATCTCGATTTATGGCTTTTAGTTTTTTTATTTTATAGGTATATTGATTCTCAAAATCTAAGTTAGAATTTATGGCATGTTTGAGGAGTTTCTAGCTGCTACGGTTTCTTCCATAATCATAAGCTCTTCTAAACAGCCTAGCTTTTTATCTAAATTCTGACAAACTATAGCTGTATAATCTAGAAAATTAGCTAGAAACCAGAAATTGAAAAATCTAGTTTTTTAAATAATTAAAAACTAATTACCAACCAGCTGTTTCTCAAAACTTTGAACTCCCTAAACAAATTCTTCGACCCGTTTAGAAGAGCTGGAAATTTTTGAAGGTGTAAGCTTCTCCAAGCAAGGCTTAAAAGTCTACAATTCCACGCTGGAGTCTGTAGATCACACAAGCGATTGGTTACGAAAGGCGACTCTTTGGTTTCAGCTAGAGGGGATGATTCCGGACAGTTACCATTCAGCATTCATCATATATCCCCATGACAATATGCAAGGAGTATTTTTCCGGTTTTATCATAGCTAAGGTTCAGCTGATTCATCAGCAGCTCAGCTGTGGGCGGTCGCTTGCTTCACGGATCGAAAAGCTCTGCGCTGATTGCTCCCAGAGGCTGAGAAAACCAAGCCAACAATCAATCTGATTTGATCTTTTCTATCCATCTGTGACTGACAGGCTGCCAAATGGACTGCATGCATGCAGCATGCTGAGTGTTTATTTTGTTTCTCCCTACTTCTTTTTTCTCCTTTGGCAAAACGTCATATCTTAAATCAATAGCGATTAAGGCAGACGGAAAATGATCGAAAATTGATGAAAATGTTAAAAATGAAACGGGGTGAACCGGTATCTTTCGGTGCTATAAAATAAAAAACGTGAACTTTTGATACTATATGACCAATTTTGCCTCTCCTTTTGTCTTCTTTATGCAAACTTGAGATTTGATTTAGTAGCTGTTTTGAATTTTGTTATGCCTGTGTTCCATAGTTCAAACCAGCTTGTTGTAGGGCTACTTGGCTTGTCAGAATGGTCAAAGGTCTATAATTCAAGCATAAGAAACATTTTGATAAGTAATGTGTGTGGTTTTTAATAATGAACGGAAATCCGACCTTCATATTTATAAGTAGACATGTACGCAACCAAAGTAACACGAGTGCATATTCCTAGTCTCGAACAAAACGAAGACTGTAAATCTAAGGCCGAGTTTAGTTTCAAATTTTTTCTTCAAACTTTCATTTTTTTATCATATCAAAACTTTTCTACACACATAAACTTTCAACTTTTCCGTCACATCGTTCCAATTTCAACCAAACTTTTAATTTTGGCGTAAACTAAACACACCCTAAGCTCCAAGCTTTTCCTCTTGCTTCAAACTTCATAGTATTGCGAGGTTGGAATATATCATATCAATTACTCCATCTATCTCATTTTGATTATCCCCTGAGGATTATGAGATCTTCTCAAAATGATCAACATCTAACAAGTGTCTCTTTGTTTATTTGTGCAAAGAGTAAATGTGCTTCATTCAATGTGTTGCATGCAACTAATAAAGATTAATTTTTATTGGTGTAATGATATGCAATATTTAAAACATGAGCAATCCATGAGGCATAGCGATGAAACACCTTAACCGAAAAGGATTAATTTGATAATAAAAGATATTTTGATGTCCTTGATCTTCCGATATCTAACTTACGTACCGATTCGTAGCCAGAAGTTCGTTTTTTAATGGGACAGAGGGTGTAAGTTTCAAAACACCGTGAAGACAGCAGTTACGTTGACCTCTCTATTAAGCTCCGCCGTTAGACAAAACCTATATTAAAATAGTACCACGATATTGTAGGATTCTCGTATTAGAATCTATTATCCTAAGTGACCGGATATCACCGCTGACCCATCACGTGACAATAATATAATATGTTTTCGTGTGGACCACATAGACTTGACCAATATCAATCTCAGTGCACTTTTCGCCACGACCCACACTACGGGACAACAGAAAACATTATCATAACCCAGTCTCACTCGAGTGACTATAGATCGTCGCACACACACGAGAACTCGCGAGAAAACACACTTCAAAACACCTTCGTTTAAGGAATCTCTTTATAGGGCCCATAATTTATTCAGCCCCCTCACCTCACATGTCACATCACTGTTCCAGCATACAAGAGCACACGATCCAGTCAACGTGTGGCCGGGCCGGTTGACCCGGCTGGGCCCACTCACGGCGTCAGCCCGCCGCGTCTGGCTGACGTGTGGGCCCAGCCCCACCCTCGCGTCGCCGTCATCCACGCCGGCGTCGCGTGGGCCATGGCTTCGACGGGATATCCACCGGCAGGAGAAGCGCAGATGCTTCGTTGATTTTTATTTTCTTCTCTTCTTTTTTTTGGAATTCGTTTGGATTGGATTCATCGGAAGAAGCGAGCGGGATATCCGGCTGGATATTCCTCCACCCGGAAAACGCACCAAGGAATATGCTCCGAATCATCGGCGCCGTACGATGTGCCCAAGTTTTTTTTATTGTTTTTTTTTGTGTACGAGGGAAAAATCGCCAGATTAGCCTCACATCGAGCTTACTACTGTACTAACTACTGTAGCATTTTTGGCATCAGTAGTTATCTGATCTCTCCCGTTGGATTAACGCAGCTAATTACTAATCGAATCGTCTCACTTCTCATAGAGTATAATAACATGTGGTTCCGTTTTTTTTCCACCTTTAAATTATTGTACTGACAGTCTGACAACGGTTAAAAAAATAATAATTACCCCTTCGCGGGAAAAAAAATTAATTCATAATGAATTAATACGGCCGTGTCGTTCTTGTACTGGATAGCTAGCTTGTATAATATTTTCAAATTTGTTAGAGAAAGTCAATGTACAGAAGCACGTTGATTGGATTATGTGAGACGAGTGACATCCATGGTGACACGGCAAATTGCTGGATTTTTTTTTATGTCAGGAGCTTGCTTGATTAACCAGAATAGCATCTGATTAATTTAATTACGAACCTATATATAGAAGAAAAGTTAATATTTAAAATTTTCGTGGTCCACCTACATCGAGTGACCAATCGAAATCGTTGTGATCGTCAACGCCGATGCACGAGAAGGAGAAGATACCACTTCGATTAGTTGTGCGATATCTCGTCAGAATTTAATTAATCTTTGATTAATAAATTACTAGTATATGCTTATTCTAAAGAGTAGAATATTCGATGGGAAAAATTCAACGTCTCGCCACAATAAAAAAAAGGGAGTATTTCTTGTTGCCACTGCAATTTGCAGTTGATAATTTGGACAAAACTTACAGCTAGATACGCAGCTAGTTTTGTTGGATGGGCATAACCGTTTATGCTTCGTTCCTGTGTTAATTAGCTAAATTAACCAGTTGTTAAAAAGAAGGGTAATTTGACAGATTAGGAGGAAATAACTAAACTCGTGGATCAGGATCTAACTAATGGATCTTTGAGGGAATTAATTGGATTTAGCAACTTAGGAGTATTTGGCTTCCTACTAGTTTTGGCCACATCTATTTCAATTCCAATTCCAATTCCAAGTATATGATCATAATTTGCTCCACTCCACTATAAGTAAAAACAACAAAAGTTATTATAAATCTTATGTGCAGGTTACCCCCGATTATTACAGTATTACTTGCTACCATATCTCAAACATCGATGGCTGTATTACTTGTTAAAAAGAAGGGCATCCACAATGTGAAGCAAAGCAATATTATATTCTATTCAGCTACCTATTATCATTGTGCAACTAGTCCATAGAGAAAATAAAAAAAAGGTATCCATAAGCATATGGACTACCCATAAGGAATAAATAATACTCCCTCCATTTCGAAATGTTTGACGCCGTTGACCTTTTTATCACATGTTTGACCGCTCGTCTTATTCAAAAAAATTTAAGTAATTATTAATTCTTTTTCTATCATTTGATTCATTGTTAAATATATTTTTATGTAGGCATATAATTTTACATATCTCACAAAAGTTTTTGAATAAGACGAACGGTCAAACATGTGCTAAAAAGTCAATGGTATCAAACATTTTGAAACGGAGGGAGTACTATCTATCTCTATTTCTCTCTCATCTCCTAATGCTCTATAGTTAAAGTCTCTTTATGTGGGTTCTCATCTATATGGATCATTTTTGCTATATACATTTGTGATGACTTTATATTTATAAGCGAAATGTTTATCACGTTACGTGAGGGTCTGTTCGGATGACTCGATGGACGATGGATTATCATGGCCACACTTCTCAAGCTCATCAAAATAATTTCTCCGACAACTTTGTTGATCACCGTTTACTTGTAACATTTTCCTTTAAAAAAATAGTTTTCAACTTTATAACATTTAATTCTTTTCATACATGCCGTCGAATAATTATCTGAATCGTCCATTATCCATCATTCATTTATCATCTACCAATTTTAAAAAAACAGCATATATTCGATTGGATATAAATGTCGGGTAAAAAAAATCCTTCTCAGAGTTAGAGGAGAAGAAGTCGATGCACGAATCTTGACATAGATCCAATGGTCCAAAATATGTAAGGCCTGGTTTAGTTCCCAACTTTTTCTTTAAACTTTCAATATTTTCATCACATCAAAACTTTCCTACGCACAAACTTCCAACTTTTCCGTCACATCGTTCCAATTTCAATCAAACTTCTAATTTTAGTGTAAACTAAACAATTTCTGTCGAATGATATATATAGTACTACCTCCGTTTTTTAATAGATAACGCTGTTGACTTTTTCTTATATGTTTGACCATTCGTCTTATTCAAAAAATTTACGTAATAATAATTTATTTTGTTATGAGTTGTTTTATCACTTATAGTATTTTAAGTGTGATTTATATCTTTTATATTTGTATAAATTTTTTAAATAAGATAGATGTTCAAACATATGAGAAAAAATCAACGGCGTCATCTATTAAAAAAACGGGGAGGGAGTATTTCCGAAAAAAAAAGCCTCTTCGTTGCACCTACCATTTCCCATCGCAACCCCTCAAAAAAAAACTTCCAACCCGGACGAATTCGTCGGGGAAAGCGGCAGTGCGCCACGCCGCGAGATATCCCCGTCACGAATATTCCTCTTCCTCCTCCTTCTCCCCACTATTTATCGCCATCATCTCCTCCACCTCTCCTCCACCCCCCCTGCAATTTCCATTTCCCCCTCGATCCCACACAATTCGATCCCAATTTCCGGTTTTCGTGTGTGAATCTTTTGGAGAGATCGATGAAGTTCGGCAAGAGCCTGAGCAGCCAGATCGTGGAGATGCAGCCGGAGTGGCGCGACAACTTCCTCTCCTACAAGGACCTCAAGAAGCGCCTCAACCTCATCTCCGGCGGCGCCGCCGGGGAGAGGGCGAGCAAGCGGCGTCGCGTCGGTGGCGCGACGGCGGTGACGGTGACGGCGGCGGCGGCGGGCGGGATGACGCTGGAGCAGGCCGGGTTCGTCGGCCTCCTCGACGCCGAGCTCGACAAGTTCAACTTCTTCTTCCTCGAGAAGGAGGAGGAGTACGTCATCAAGCAGAAGGTAAAAATTCGAATTCCTCCGTGTTCCCCTTCGCGCTTCGCGTTCGTCGCTGTTCCTGATTGGTTCCGACGACGGGGCGCGCGCAGGAGCTCCGGGAGAGGAAGATGGCATCGGCGGAGGAGGTGATGCGCGTGAGGAAGGAGATCGTCGATCTCCACGGCGAGATGGTGCTGCTCGAGAATTACAGCGCGCTCAACTACACCGGTGAGCCGCCCACACTCTGAATTTTTCTCACTGAAATTTGCAGCAGTTTATATAATTTTCAGAGTTTTTGTACTATCCATGCCAGGTGCTATCGCGTACTGTATTCGTGAAATGGCACTTCACATGATATAAACATGGCTAGTTTTACTTTCTTTTTTTTTTCTACTGTAGTTCTTAGGACACATGGGAATTGAAGCTGTTGGGGCCTGCATTTGTGTGGTTTTTGTCACGACGCAGCATTTTTTTGTGTGATTTTTTTTGTCAGGATGTGTGAATAGGTGAAGCTGATAAGTTTTGTGAGTCAGTAGTACAATTTGGAACCCATATAATTCGTCTAAACGGTTAAACGAATTCTAACTTTTCAGACTGAATCCATATAGTCCATAAAATCGGAGTAGGATAGAAACACCAGTAAAAAACCAGGACACGTGGACCCATGGTGGGTGCCGCCTGTCCTTTTCAGAAAGGTCAAGTTTCCTGAAAAGGGGCCAGTCAATTGTTTAATATCATTTTATGGGACATCAAGCGTGCGTGCTGATAAAAATAAGTGTGGTGCCCACTAAACTATGTTAGATAAGACATGTTTTCCATAAAGAAATCTTGGAGTTGAAAACTCGCTGACTTTTATAGGACCACGTGGGCCATGGCACTCTACTTTTTGTAGTTAGATGTTTTTCTATTACTATAAAATGTATAAACTTGTTCTAGCATATTTTTAATGGGAGGGACCAATAAAAAATGTCTTTTCCTTTGTGGGATCTTGGATTCGTCATTTTGTTGTGAGAAACATACTTGCACTCCCTAAGGAAGGAAATATTTATCGCTTCATGCCGTTGAAATGACTTGCACCTATTTCTTTTTAGCTGTTGGAAACGACAGAAAATTGTGACCGGAGGGAGTATAATATTACACTTTCTATAACTTTTACATCTGATGATGCCTATAACAATGTTATAATATTCCGCAGATTTTTGGCTTAAATTACCGGCATTTCTAGCTTGATATGCTTGCTGTTATTTCTGTTTTGTACTCTTATTTCTGGATATGCTTCTACATATAAAAATTCCCTTTTGGTGCAAAGGCTTATGTTACACATGTTCCTCTTGTGCAGGATTGGTTAAAATCCTCAAGAAGTACGACAAGAGAACCGGCTCCATGATCCGTCTCCCCTTCGTCCAGAAGGTGCTGCAGCAACCCTTCTTCACCACCGACCTCCTCTACAAGCTCGTGAAGGAATGCGAGGAGATGCTGGACCAGCTCATGCCGACGAACGAACACTCGGTAGCGAGCGAAGATGGGAAAGATGACAGCGAAGGGGAGGAGAAGGGTTCAAAGCCCAGCTCCTCCTCCTCGGCCAACGGTGGAGCCGTCCCGGGAGAGGCCGAGGCCGAGGATGAGAGGAGCACGGACATGAAGAGCACCGTCACGGCGGCGCTCAGGGCGCTGAGAGAGATCCGGAGCGGGAGCTCGACGGTGAGCGTCTTCTCCCTGCCGCCTCTGCACGGCAGCAATGGGCAGGATGAACCGGGGAGGTGAAAACGAGAATGGGAAAGAAAAGGAAATGATCTTGACGCTGCGTTCGGTATCGTTGTTTCGCCTGCACTTCTGCTCAAATGCTCAGTGATCTTGGCACTTGGTAGGAGTTTGTAACTGGCTATCAGTTCATGTTTCGTTTTAACTTGGGTATTTTTCGTGTAATCTGTTTGTTTCCCACCTGCTGTAAAAATGAGAGGGAAAAATAGATTAGTATAAAGTTCAGGGTAAACATAGATCTCAATGTGCAGCCTGACTACTTTGTCACTTGATGGGATGATTTTTTTTTGTTTATGTGCTTCTGTGTTTGTTAGATGGTTTGTATGGCTGTATATATATATATATTTTTAGTAAATTGCAGTTTGGGTCATCTTTTATTATCAAAGTTTCACTTTGGATCATCCTAAAACTAATCTTTTCACTTTGGATTGGGTAACTTTGCTATTTTTTTTGTTTGGAGCACCCAATTCTCTTAATTATTCATGTGTATCCTTTGTTCTGGTAAAGATATGAGTTGCATATAAACGAGGAAGTTCACCATTGCACCGAAACTGATTTGGTGATGAGCGTTGAAGAAGTTGATTGGGGTGGTCCAAACTGAAAAAATGAAAAAAATGGTAAAGTTACCCAGTCTAAAGTAAATAAAAATTGATTTAAGGGTGGTCCAAAGTGAAACTAGGCAATTCTTTTTTTTATCATGCATTGTACAATGCTGCACGAGTACATTTACGATGCACTGAGACAATTTGGTCAGAAATTGGTTGGTGTGGCTTGTGGTTCCTACATTTACGTCACAGATTCACACTTTGCTGATTAAAAAAAAGAGAATGAGATGCTGGTTCCTCTTGTTTGGTGTTTTGGAGCTGGCAATTTAATCTTTGCACCCGCAGAGTTGTCAAGTTGATGATTTAGGGATCATGTCGTTGTAGATTTTTCCTTATGGAGCAGATAGAACTCAAATATTCTATATTTTATAGGTTTCTCAGGCGCATGATGATAAACCGTACTTGTTAGCTGCAAAGAGTTCAGGGTATGCAATCTTAAGACAAGATCAGCAAGCTGAAGTTAAAAACTGTGATCTCGGTCAGGCTTACCTTCAAAAGATGGAAACTTGCATCTGGCTAAAGCAGTATCATCCAAGTAACATTATATTTCAGTTGTAACCTTATACAACAACAGGGCTCTACAGCTTGAAATCTATGCTACAAAAAACAGTTACATCGTATACATCTTTCAGTCGTTCTTCACAAATCACAATGACATGCTTCTGATGGTCATCTCTTTTAGAGTGGTTACAGATCGGTGAAATAGCTTGAGGCTACGCCCGACCTTGTCCTGCCCAGCCAATTTAAAAAAAAATCATTTTCAGAGCACATTAAATAGAAGCATGAAAGTTTCAAGTATATGAGAAATTTGTTGGTAAACATCTTTAGGCAGAAAATATGGTAATACATCACATTTTACAGGGGTATATCTTTATAATTGCATTTGCATACAATTAATTAAAAATTTATTAGGCCTAACAAAAAAAAAATGCAGATATGCACAAATATGAGAACTCACTAGCTAAGTGAGCAAATGAAAAGACTAGAGCAATCCACAATTTATTTATGAACACTATACCTCCGTAAAATGCTCTAGCCTCTCCAGGATAGGAAGCAACTCATCAGAAAATGAAGAAATATCTTTTGCACAAGACCTACAAAAAGTACAGAAATGCAATAGTTCTTAAGCTTAAGAACAAAAGGACCAAGACAGTAAAACCTCTGCAGAACAAACAATTATTCATACTCGTCTTGAAAATGAACAAGGAGAATAGTGACAGCGCATTCTGCGATTTGGAGTAGAAGGGTTATGAGCTGGCCTCGGTTGCCGGCCATGCAACACAATTCTATCATTGCAATGAACCTCCTGCAAGAGAAAAAATGTTACATGTACTGCAACATGTATAAAAAAACCTTGCATGGAGTAGATGACTATTGCAGCAAGATCTTCCAAAAGGCAAAAAAAAAATCATGTCCATTGGGTCAACCAGGGCACTGTGGCATGCAGCTATTGTATAACGTTAACAGATAAGAAGTTTACCAAGAATTGTTTGGTTATATTCTTATTCTCTTTTTATCGTTAGAGACTGAGGTGGTGCATTTCTCCCAGGATTCTAGACACTCATTTAGTCTCCTATTATCCCAATGGACTAAATGAAGCCATAACCACGCTATCCTGTAGAAACATAATATCGGAGTAGCTATACTCGATTGCTCATGCATGCATGATGCATCACAAGCTGATAAAAGAGATTATTCATGGCTACCACTTAACAATGCATAGTTCAATGCTTAAAATAGTTCGTCTTCAATGGGCTGTTGTTGAGTATTGCCATGCCAAGCAGAATGAGGAAAGGTGGAGGGGTTAGGAAAAAGTTTTACATTGTTAAATATATTTCTGCTTTTTATGTGGTTACAGGTAAGATCAAAGATCAGAGATCAACAAAAAGCAAATGACAATGAAGTCTTCATTATTAACCCAAGAACGTTATGGACAATTGTTGAAAAAATGAAAGCATCAAGTACCTTTTACGGATGTTATCGTTGGGAGAGATACAATCTTGTTTCATGCATAATTTTATTATATCATCAACCTCCTTCCTAGATAACTCATTTAAGTCACGAATCTGTGCAGGATAAAACAGACAGTTAATGCATAGTTGCACTGAAATCATTATGTTCTGCTAAATGTTCAAATGAACTCCTACTGTGGATCAATAATTCAACCTCAAACTTTAGATTTAGCACATACTTTCAAAACTTGAAATTTCCCCAATAATAAAGCATACATAATGAACAGGTAAACATATTCGCATCGGATACCTTATTTAGCAACATATATTTTTCTTCAGCTACTCTTTCCATAGCAACTGTTATTGAGTTTAGAAGATCTGAAATCAGTTGTAGTGTTGGTTGCTGCTGACCTTCAGTAGTATCATCATACGAAATCTGCAAGTTCAAGAAGCTGATTATGCGAACTTGGATATACAAAAATGAAAATATCAACAAACAGTTAACAGAGAAATTGCATGCAGACATAATTTTATATGCAACCCCCACAACCACTTGACAATAAGAGAAATTGCAAAGGTAAATTGGGGGCCATATCACTTGTTTTTGGGCATGAGATCAACAGATAAAAATCACGGAAAATTTTAATGTAGTATATTGAATATATTGCATGAAAATGTATTTGGCGAGACAAGGAAAATAACCAGCAAATTAAAAATTGGAAGTAAAATAAGAAATTAAAGTGTTCTTGTTCTGGTGTACTTTTAGTTTGAAACTGAAATTCAATCAAGGTATATTCTATTAAATACTTAATTACTTTGGTGTAAATTGCATCATAGATTCAAAATCAAATCCAAGAAATTTGAGTATATGGCTAAAGTAAGGTTATCAGATCGTTTTGCTAGCCCCTGTGGAACCACAGGTAGTCATGTATTGTGTGTATGTTAGCTGCTGATGTGGAAACAGTGGAAATACACACAATCACGCTATATGTTTTTAATCTAGCTACAGAGAGCACTTGTTCAAACTATCAGATCTTTACAGCAACAGCTATATGTTTTTAATCTAGCTACAGAGAGCACTTGTTCAAACTATCAGATCTTTACAGCAACAAATCTCATAACATTTAATAAAAAAAATGAAGTTCTATAAAAGATTTGAACACACAAAATAAAATTCATATAACATCTATTTATGCACTCCCTCTGTCCCAAAATATAAGGGATTTTGCCTATCTAGATTTGCAGTACTAGGATGTGTCTCATCCAACCTCCCTTATATTTTGGGATGGAGAGAGTATCTTCTATCTACCATGCCCTGCCAACTGACTCATCATTGGCGGCTGCCGCTGGTAAATAATCATGAATAATTCATGCACATGACAGAGAGCAAACTACTCATCATTTTCCATGTTTATCTGGTGCTCCATCCAAAGTTATTTGAACGATTACACCTAGCTATATGTTAGAAGTTAGCATTACATATCACGTGGTAGATTCTAGTATTAGTAGAGTAAATTGCACTTTGCAATGGGTAATGAACCTCATTTCACAATATTATGATCATGCAGGTTCTTAGCACATTACTATAAGAAGACTATTCAACATGCCTACATAGAATAGCAATTCTACTATCCAAAGTCCCAAGAGCACTGTCTGCAAGCCACAGGTTACCCAGTCAATTGGTGGTCCCAACTTTTTTGTGGTTTTGAAGCAAATGATCAGCACAGATGAATGTATGCCATGGTTTCTACTCCTTACAATTTCAGTCATTCAAAGTTCTCACGTAAGTCAAGTTCAGAAGCTAATCATGTACACATAATGACATAAATGGTTTTTCATAATATAATTTGAGAACCATGGAAAATGATTAATGCATATGTACCTACAGGTATTTAAAACATTCAATTCAATGCTTAAAGATGTAAAGCAAAAAAAGCTGATTCAAATGCTTCTTCACAATTTTAAAATTTTGGAAATATCGATTTGAATCATATGTAGTGTAGCTAACTAAGAATTCACTAACAATTCAAAGTTAACCAAAACAAAATTTTACATTATCGACTATTCAGAAAAGGTCTCCCCCTTTGTTATCATGGCTCATGGCCAAAGCAAGAGCCGGGAGATTTGGAGCAGTGTTACCAGACTATGAAAATATTAATGAAAATTGAATAGGAGCTGCTAGAAAAAATATCTTACTTGAAACCGCATATCCTTCTTTGTAGCCAGAACATATAGGTAGGAGATAAGGCTGAAGCACAAGGCAAACACTATCAATTCTGACTTCTGATTCTGGTAAGAAACAACAGTTGCAAGCATTAGAAAAGTCTCAGGGTGCATGGATATGCATAGTTGTAATGAAACTATGTTAAAGAGAACTAGATTGTACCTCAATCATGTTTGATGATTGCATAAAGTTGAGAGACCCAATATCAAGACTGAAAAGAAATTGCATCATGGAAAATAGATCTTGGACAAAGCTGCATTCATCATTTTCCTCATATGCCCATACCTATAAAGTGGTAGCACTTGTGAAGACACATTACGAAAAAGACCAGAATCAAATGAGAAGCAAATAGCAAACCTTGCCAAGAATAGAGACCACCATATTAAGCCGCTCCAAGTTGAATATATTAGCTCCAGATATACTCTCTCTTAAAATGATATTAAAAACAGGCTGATGCTGCTTGGCGAAGTCTACTAACTCCCGGACAATTTTGTTCTTCACCTGAGGAAAGGATTAAATTAGTATAAAGAAGAATGGCATATAGAGAGATTACAGAACATGGAAATATTGCATTTCAATAAAGCTCATGGCAAGTAATAGCTCCATGTAATTCCCCAACATGGAACAGACAAAAAGTTTACCAATGAGGTAAACTGGTAAAACAATATTATACGGAAGTAATTTTTTTTCTCGAAAAAGCAGGAGAGCTGCATTTCATTTCATTAAGGTGAAGAAAAAACAATACAAAAAACACAACACAAAGAAAAAACAAAGTAGGAGTGCCCGAGCCCTCCTACCAAGACCCACACACACTAGACAACCCGGGGAGCTTAGTTGCCTAGGTTAGCCGTCCCACTAAGGAGCTTTTGAAGGCGAGAAGCTCCAGCAACACCCCAAAGATGGCCCTCATTTTCTATCACTTGCAAGACCGTCGCTACTCTAGGATTGGCGTTATTGAAAACGCAGTCGTTGCGGTGCTTCCAAATCTCCCAAGCTACTAATGTTACCAAGGAGTTAATCCCTTTCCGCACCTCCTTCGGCTGGTTCTTCGTTGCTTGGCTCCACCACCTCAGAAAGCGGTCGGTAGAGGGCTGAGGCGCAGCCTCAGCTAACCCTAGTCTCAAAAAGATTGCCGTCCAAACTTGGCGAGAAAAAACACAGGAGATCAAAATGTGTTGGATGGATTCTTCACTTTGATCACAAAGGGGACAGATCACTGTGTGCTGCAGCCCACGCTTAGCTAGACGATCGGCTGTCCAACACCTATTATTGATGGCCAGCCAAATGAAGAATTTGCACCGGAGGGAAGCCCAACATTTCCAAATACGTTTCCAGGAAGTAATGGAACAAGTCCATTTTACCTCTCTTGACAAAATTATCACCTGAGGCCAAATTTTCATCCTCTAAAAACCTGTCAATTTTCACCAAACTGTTGATAAATGTCATGGCATGGCCAGGACAGCCCTTACAGCTAATTAGCAGGTTAATCATCAAATTAGGAATAAGTCAAATAAAGGTAGGAGATTATCTAGTTAAGACAGATAAAGCTTGTCAGTAAATTAGAGATAGATCAGATTAGTGTCTATAATATTATAGATTTGTTCCTCAGATGTCAAATCAATCCTTCTTATATATAAAGGGAGCCCATGTACCCCATCATTAATTAAGCAGGAAAATCATAAAGTTAGGTTACTTAGGTAGATTGATCAGAGTCTCCTGAACATCGGACAAGCCAATGCCAATGAGAATGATATGGACTTTATCCCAGTCTTCAGACCATTACCCGATCCATGAATCAGCGTCCATAACATAAATCAAGCACAAATCAAACCCAAGCCATGGACAATCAGTTCTAGCTGATGTGGTACCTCCGTAGGCCAGAATCTCATAATACCAGGCCTAGCACAACTACAAAGTTATATGAAATATCAAGTCATGAAATGATAAAATTCAGGATAAAGCAGTATATGCAAATATTTACTTCGCCCTGAGCTAATAGCTAATGATAATGCTCTTTTACAACTGGGTTGATGTAACTATGGAGAACTATAGACATTTTTCATGGGTTCTCACCATACCATATGTTGCATTTATAACCCACAAGCAAACAATGCTTGAAATGTACCGCAGCATTCAATAAAGCTATTATAAGAAAGTATCTATCCAATGCAGCTTGTGAATGATGCTATTCCTTCACACCTGCCTAAAAAACTTACTATCAAGAAAAGCAGGAAAAAGGAAAACACCACACCCAGCAAATAACTTAGCTTTTAACAACATCCTCACTTCCTGCAGGGACTGAGGTGAGACTACCTCAGTCCCTGCAGATCCAATTTGGCCAAAAGTGCTGTGGGGTAATGACAAATTAACAATGATGTAGGTGTAGTGTAGGACCAAAGAGTTGGCCGTACAATGGGCTGGGCAATATGGTGTTTCCTCTAGTAAAATATGGGTTTTAAAAAGTGAAATTCTTCAGTAGGGCGCTCCAAACTCCCGATTATCCAAAATGGCTATGTTTTCATCGTTTCATTATAGAGCAAACAAATTTTGATTTCCAGATGTGCCACGACCCAAGGCCATGACAGGATAACCACCTCAGAGAGATAGCAAGTGGTGTTGGCTCTTGGAGAAGGAATGTAGACTTAGGTTGGGGAGAAGAACATTAGGGGAAGAGATTAGACTAATTGATTTTCATTGCTTAACTCCAAATGAATACAATCCCATCCTTATCTTATTTCCCAATTCCCTAATCTTATCTCCTAATCCGCTGCCACAGTACCCACTGCGCTGTTCATCTGCCCTAGAGTTGGCTCCATGGGCCTTGGCCTCACGGCCCAAATGCCCAATTCCCATGACAAAATGCAAGTGCGATGCAGAAAATATGGAACCTCCAAAAATTGGCTAACCTCAAGAAAATCAGCGGAGTCCACAAGTGAGGTGAAAGATGTGACTATTCTAAGTATCGGTGCAGTAAGTGATCTCCTCTTGTCAATTTCTCCAGCTCGCTCTTTCACTACATTGGAGTTGAGCCTTGAATTTGCCTAAAACATAAAGATATTGTAAGTATTTTTGAAGAGAGGATAAGCACTCACACTGGTAACAGAGAGACAGAGTCAACCTTTTTCTGCGAACCCATCAGGTTGCACGACGAAAGATTATGTAGAGCACCCATGGACAACAGAATCTGGGAGCCATGTTTCCCATAGTGGTGACTGATTCTCAGAAGTAATGACAATTGAGCATCAATAGTGCAAAATCGCTGTGAAGACTCTGATGAGAATGATGCTTCCTAATAAAAATAAAAAAGAAAGTCAATGACAAATGGCAAAGGTATAAACGCAAGAAAGAGGACTGGTAGAATTAATACACTCATTGATATGCTAACTGATAGTACAAAATTACTGCAAATATGGAAACATAAAAGAACAGATTATCACAACAATCTTACTGTGGAGTACCGTCAACCGTCCACCCACATAACTACATATTCAGCACGTGTATTACATGAAAATTAAATGGAAAGATTCATAAAATGATTGTGTGCAGTCTTTCAGGAAAAAAAAAAGGAGCATAACCAAACTTTTTAATTTTCAGAAGAGGTCAACTGGAAACCATCCTTGTCGCCTTGAAGCAACACTGATGGCGTAACAATACTAGCCAATGGGCCAGGCTTTGATGATTTAGCGTTGATCATCCAATAATACCCAGAAAAACACTGAGCAATTTCACCTTTAAATACCCCCCATAACTTTGGCAGTACAAAGCATCCATCAATATCCAGACCACTAAACAATTTCATCTTAAATTCCTAACCTCATACTTTGCACAAAAATGGAAGTTCTCTATAGAGGTCTACAAGCAGAGCCACAGCTCATTTTCAAGTTTTTTTTTTTTGGCAGAGACATTTTCAAGAATATGTAAAAATGTGATTTGCATGACCATGACAAAACAATGCCTTAAAACTATAACAGCAGATTTCTTGGGAAGAAGTAAAAGGGAAATGAAGTCTAGACCTTAGACAAGTAGTTGTTAACATCACTTAGACATGATCTGAGAATTCCTCGACTCTGAATTTGGTTCAAAAAATACTTGTCATGGTCAATACTAATCAGTGAATCAAGAACGTAGAATGAAATTGCTTTCCCTGCTTCACTTCCATGGATCGCATCCTTGGCAACCTGTGATGGAAACAAAATTGATCTCATGTTTGAGTTATAACTGTAGCAATTTCATAGAAAGCAATAATCTCCATTTCAAAATTCATATTAGATCTAGGTTTATGGGGTAACATGAGATCAAATCACACCATTGCAATTTCATATTTTTCAATGGCGTGTTTTGAGCCTTGCACGTGTAGGTGGATAATTGATCTAATGTTCATATACAAATTTAAGATTTGAGGAAAACTTTTTGCATTTTGTTTTGACTAAATGTTTGCACAAGTGCATAAGTAGCTGGATAATCTGTCTCTGATCATATACTCAATTTTAAATTTTAGGATAATTACTCTTATGTTGCAATTTATGTTGTACCCTCAAGTATATTCACATAGACATGCAACACCGCTGCTATAAACATAAGCATTGTGCAAAACATTTCAACTATTTTTTACATAAATAGAAGAATGACATACCAAATCAATAACTGCTTGAGCTTCCTTCCTTATGATAGAGAAGTTGCTGCGTGCTAATTCATTTTGTTCCTTGAGAACCTTTAGAAAGAAAAGGGTAAGGAAAAGGAAATATTCCCATCAAGACACAAAGATAATTAATAGAAAGGACCTTTTGAAGACCAAGTTCATCATCATCTCCCTCTTGTTCTTCAAGTAGTAAGAACCGAAGAACTGGTGGAGGGACATCAGAGTCAAGGGTGCTACGGCAGTACTGAAAATAACTTAACAGTAATGCATATTGGCTGCAAAAGAGAATTTAAAGTCAGCATATATTTTGTATGAAAGAGAACAACGAATGGAACAGAAATGTTTTTAATGATCATAGTCACTAATGATAGGGAAGTTACCGTCTTCTCAAGGTCTCAGAAGATTCATTTCTTAGTATTGCCATCGTGAGTTTGAACAATAATGAAGTGCAGGCTGCATTTGACAACTGCTTTGCTGAAATGATGTCAAGGCAAGTAACTGCATCAGAATCGGCACCGGTTGGGCATATGAATCTTTCATCCCGCAGTTTCGCCATACAAGTCAATGCCACCTTGAAAACATCAACATGCATAAAATTACAAGTTTGCAGTAGGCGAGGAACTTTATTAAGAGGTTAACACTTGATACAAGCCGATAAACAACAAACTTACATTGGTTAAAATATATGCCATTTTCACTGAACAATCTGGAGATGTTGTGGCACTTAATGAAGCGTCAAGGAGCCTGCAGCATGCAATATGCAATCAGTAAAGCTGGTACATTTGTGACAGTAAGAGTTTGTATTCTTAGAGAAGGGAGACAACACTCACTCAAACAATAAATGAGAACGATCTTCAAGTAATGACATCCTTCTAGATACTGCTATCTGTAATTAGAGAAAAATAGCAGCGATCTACATAAAAATTCGCACCCTAAGAAAAGCTAAGCAGACAAACAAACAAAAGACTAACTTCAACAATTTGAGACCAGCCAGTCAACATGTGAAGCTGGGCTGCTTGTTCTTCAAGATTTTTGTTATATCTCCAGGCCCATTTCAGCATCTGATGGAATGATTCTTTTAGCTCGCTTTTCTCAGATTCACTTAATTGTGGGTTCAATAACTGAGACATCTGTAATAAAAGAAGCAATCCATAAAAAAAACCATAGGAAACATAAAAGTGTAATAACAACGAATAAGGCTGAAAAAATGACCTGGAGAAGTTTTTCATGAAATGCATCAAGATCAATCAATCTATCGCCTCGCTCTGAATAATAATATACACCACCAAATTCAGATGTCGCGGAATTCCTTAGGATCTCTTCAATCTATTAGCAGAAAGAATCAGATGATAACTAATCGAACTTAAAAAGTTGATGTTTAAAGGGCAGACCTTTGATTCAAGTCTCAGGTTAGAAAGCATCTGGGGGTATTTAATGGAAGTGTCCGGACATCTGAACTGGACAACTTCAAGCAAATCCAAAACCTGGGTGAAAAAAATAACACATGAGATTTGCAGCACGGAAACATAGTTAACATTGTCTTATTTGCCAAGTGGGATATTTATGGAGTTTGTGATGTCCTGACTCCTGAATGTTGCGCCATCATAATTGCTCCAAAAAGACCTCAACATAGCCATCTAGCCCCTTCATCCCTAATATACGGAGACTGTCTTCTAAAAGTTGGCGCTAGGCACCCCCTATATGGTGCATTAGGTAGCTGAACTTGCTTGGGTGGTATTTAGTTGCTATTTTGGTGTTATATAACTAATTTTCATGTTATGCTTGCTAATTTCTTGGATCTGACTATCCGACCTAGGCACCCACTAGCCGCCGCCTAGGCCTGACTAGCGCCTTCTTGAACCATGAAGGGATCCATTGTGGGAAGGTGGTTGGGGGTAAGATTGGATGAAAATTAAATGAGGGGTGGTTGATTGGGGGAAGTAGGTACTCTAGAATCCCTTATATATTTTGGGACAAAATTTGAATCCTTGGATCCCTGATATTATGGGACAGGGAATAAGATGACCCCACTAGATGCAAGCTTCGTTACACTGACATGCATTTTGGAGTGTTATTAATCATGAGAAACAGAAGTACAGTACTTCCATAATCCAAGTGCTCTGAGTAGATGGGAAAGGCTTCCAGTAACATAAGAAATTGTAGGCCCTGCCCCCAAAAAAAACTTTCTTCACAAGTACACATTTCCCTTAAAGATGGAATGCATTGACTGTGGATTTCCCTTAAAGATTTCTGATCAAAATCTGATAGAAGCACAAAGGAATACAAGCAAAGGCCTGTACAAATAAAACTACATGGCACACCAATAAAGGGCCATATAAAAAAAATAGACAGATAGAAGTTATTAAGCATTACCTTGTTTCCATTCATTGCTAAATTGCTACTGCCAGGAGATTGTAACAGGTTTGCACTCCTTAAGTTCTCAGCACAATGGCCAAAAGTATGACATAGAATAGCCAAACAGGACTCCCGGTATAAGGACGATGATATATCAGATACATGCAATGCCAATGCTAGCATCTTTAGCAACCATGCCCTCTGAAATTAACAAGTTGTAGATTAACAGGATGAAAAATGGGTGGCATCAAGAAGTTTGTGCCTACAAATCATACCTCATGGAGCATGCTAATACGAAGAGATTGATTGTTGTTCCTTCTCGGAAGTGGTGACACACCAATGGTTCCAACATGCTGGGAACAGTAAGCAAGAAAAGAATTATGACTTCCAATTCAACATTTAGCTATTTTAATTTAAAAGAACAAAACAAGAATGTGTACCTTAGAAAAGAACTGGTATTTTGTTGTGCTCAGGAGATCCATGACAGGCCCACAAGTTAAAGGGTCAAGGCATAACTCGTAGAGAAGCTGAATTAAAATGAGTCAAACGTACATTTTGACACTAAAGGATTAAAATAAGGAGGTGGGTTCTATCCCTGAGAAAACAAACCTGAAAACCGAATTCATGCAGTAAAGCATTTATATCTGGCTTTGTCACCTTTTCAAGATTGTCAAGAATTGTCTTTAAACAACTGTGGCACAATATGATAATTCGTCAAACAAACCTTATGGCTATACAAAAAACAAAGAGCCTCGAGCTAACCTGTAGTGTGACTTTGGTTTTAAAACTGTCCGTTCTATGGATCCATTGACATCGAATCTTAGGAGTAGATGTGTAATGTTGGGAGCTGGACGACAAATATTGTCGATAAGTAGCTGCATGACAAAATGGTTATTACAGTTAGAAGATAGGCATATTAAGTACACTACATAAAAGAAACACTAAAGCTGAAATAACGACCTGTAGTATTAGGACACCAACGTCATCTTTTGTGTTCTCTATGGCCTGGAAATCATCAAAGCGGAACTCCAAGCAAGCAGCATAATCCTCAATTACCGATTTAGCAACATCTGCTTTCAGAAGCAACTGGACAAGACCAACTATTCTAGAACTGCATAAAACAAAATGGTGAAAAGATTGGCACATTAATCTTAATTACTCTGATTGCAGGCGTAAACATGGAAAAAGGTAGACTTCACTAAATAGTAATCTGGAACATAAATTTGGATATACCTCAGAATTCCCATAATTTTTATAGAGCACTGTTGAATCTGAGGAAGATAATCATATCGTACAAACTCCAGTAAAGCTATAATATGTCTATGATTCTGAGCTAACACAACATCCAACGGCTGCATAGTGCAAAGAGTAACAGACACATCATTAGATAGAGAGAGGCATGACGAGCAAAAGAAAGATATTGACATAAAGAAAGAAAACCTGGTAGAGTGGACGGAAAACATCAGCAAGCACCAGATCTCTCTCCATCACAAGAATAAATATTTCAAATGATAGATGGACAGTTTTCTCCAGAAGAATCCCATAAGTTTGGGTAGTTCGCTCATTAATAAGAGTGTCCACACCCACTGATACGATGTTCATAATATTCCGGAAAGCAACTTTCCCACTCATGAAATCCTGCATTGGAATTTTACAACCCAATATTTATACAGAACACATAGACACATATAGAAGTTCAAACAAAATATACATATCATTAAACATTATTAGAAACATCAGAATATTAGATGTATCAGTGAGATTGATATACCCCATAAAGCAAGAGCAACCAAGAAATCACATAAGATTCATATAAACTGAATTGATTGTCACGTGTTATCTGAATCTTACAGGATTATGCTTTATTACAGGAATTGCAGACAAAATCACATGTGGGAGGGATAGAGTGCAGGACTTCTAAAAAGAGAAAGTAAAGAGCTATAAGCTCATGTTTATTTTCCTGTGAAATAGAGGCATAAGAAACCAACCCATATTGGTTTTTCCCGATTCTATTCCTTTCTTCCAAAGGCTGCATAAACTTTTCCCAATAAATGAAATCTTCCAAACAACTCTATGAAATTCCTTCAAATCAAAGGAGCCTTAGGGCCTCTTTGTTTAGGCTTAGGCTCATTGGCTTAGACTTTTAAGTTAGCTTTTTGGCTTATATGATTTACAAGGCAATGGATTTGAAATCCTAAGTTTAGTGGTGTAGTTATACCTCTATCTCACATAAGCTAAAAAAGCTTCTCCAACCTAGCTTTTGGCTTAATAGTGTAAGAGTGGCTTATGGCTTTAAAAAAGCCAAACGAAAAAGCCGTTTGTTTGTTTAGGCTTAGACTTTTCGGCTCAAAAGCTGGTTTATAAGCCTAAACAAAGAGGACCTTAATCTGTTGAGAACATGAGCTGAGCAATGCAGAATCAACAGGTAGTAAATTCCTGTCAATTGTTGTTTTTTCAAACTGACAACATTGTTATAAAGGTGGAATACGTGGAAACAAAGCTCATAGGCCACCAATTGACAACTGCGCTCGATGTCCATTTTCCAGCCATAATCCAATGTATAGTAGTACTGTTTCTATTAGGATGCTCAACCTTTCTAGTTATGTAAAGTACACACTAGGTGCGCAGTATGATGTACTAAAGGTGTCCTGGGCCAAATCAAAATGTACTGGATAAACACACAGGACAATGAGTGCAATAAAAAAGAGAAGTATACTATGCCATCAAGTTTGCCTGGTTCCTGCCCCCAAAATTAAATAGAAAATAAATAAAGTTTGCTCCATGTCTGCAATACGACATCAACTCCTCTCTTCCTTCTATAATAATAAGCCATTGCCATCAATTTTGGCACCATTTGTGCAACTCAATGACAATATACACCTTGCCAGGCCTATGAGCGCTCATCGGCAATGAGCTTATCCCCGATAGCTAGAATACTCTGATCAAGCTAAATCTAACTGTGTTTCAATGTTTCTTGATTACAATTGGGCACATGGGTCCATTTAGAGGAAGAGTTCCCCTGCCAGTATGAGGGTACTGCTAATGCACAATATCATTAACATAACACCCTAGTCACTTCCTCTATTTCATTTCCCCAACCCCTCCCTTGCTCACTTGCCAGTATGCTGTGTGTGACTAGACCTCCATGAGGCCATTTTTGGCCATTTGGAAAAGCTAAGGTAGCTAGCAGCAACAGAACAAACTCAGGAACAAAATATTTTTATTGCAAGAAAATTATAGTAAGCTTGCCAATATTCACATTCAGCTTGCTTAAGATGTTAAAGCCACATGAGATCAACAATTGAACATACTTTGAGTAGCTCAAGCACAGGGAGCTGTCTGTCGATTGAGGCATGAGATGTTGTTGAAGGTCCAGATGCGTTAACAGCAGCATAAATATCATCATCCTTGATGTCATACATGCTTAAAACCCTGCACATTATCAATTGGCAATTTTTTTTAGAGCACCGTTGCATTGTATAACACATATGCATAAGTACTGAAGATGGCCTGTTCTCTTTGAGGAAGACATCAAACTAATGGGATGAAAACTCTGAACACTTTGTGTACAACTTGATGTGCATTTCTTTGAATATATTATATCAATAGGGTTCCCAACTATTTGTCATCCAAAAAATGACAAGGTAAAAGAAAAAAAAAAAGCAAGTAATGGAACATATGCCAATCATTATGCTTACATGCGGAAGTGCTCCAAGCAAGCAACTGCCAGTTCCCACTTCTCCCGAGGATCGGCATAGGCTCTTTGAGGGAAAGGCCCAAATACATCTTCGTAAACAAACTTAAATATACCCATAAACCTGTTAACAAAAGAATCTGGATCTTCAAAATGTTTCAAGAGCTAGCAAAAATATAGAATAGTTAGTACCTCCGGCCCTTGTCACTTATGTTTCTTTCTTCTGCAATTAGAGCATTGACTAAGTTGAGAAATGATATTGTGGATGGATAACTCTCCCTCATTGCTTCAACTTCATTCAACTCAAACCTCATGTCATAGATCTGCCAAACACATTCTTCCATCAGCAATTTAGTTTACAGCATTAATCAACCTGCCAAAGTGCCTTCTTTTTCCAAGAACAGCAATGCCTCCTAATTTAAACAGAGTTGCAAGGGATAGACTAATCCCACCTGAGGGTAAGGTAATAACTACTAAACAACTTATCTGATGAGTAATGCAGCCAATGCAAAAGTATCTGAAAGGCATGTGCTCAAAAAGCACAAGATAGGTTGTGTGTGGCAGACAATTTCTGTTAGAACACAATATCCATTTTTAATTTATTTCTCAAAAAACATCTGCCAAAACACTAAAATTTAGAAAGCTGTTCTAGGCTTCTCGCAAAAAAGAATACCAAATTCCACACCAACTATAGTAAACTCTATAAAATTTAACACATTCAGTAGTTTGATATCTGGCATCAGTCACAGCACATAGATTAAGGTCCTCAAATGGCAGAGAAACAAAACAAGGACATGTGTAACTAACAAGATTTATATCCATTTTATATATGTGTTAGTTACAAAAGCATCAAAAAGATCCAATAGTTAAATATCAGAGAAATATTCACTTGGAAATAGGTCTGAAAATTTGTCCCCATAGTACTTGATATCATTCAGAGTTCAGACAAGTTCAAAAGATAAAAGTGTAGCAACACAGCAAACTTGATACCTGTGTTGCATTATGCTGACCAAGTGGAGGCGTAACCACCGGAAGATCATATTGTTCAAGATAACTCCAAATAGCATCCTTCAACAGCGGTGATACTTTGATAAATGCAGTGATCGAATTCCTCAAAGCCCCCTGTTCATGAATTTTAGTATACATGAATTTAAAAGCAAAACCTCAAAATGATATCAAAAGTAAAAAAAAAATGTACCTTCAAAAATGGTGGTACATTTTCATAGCTGAGGAGCTTAAACAAAGGCTCAATATCAGGGAACCATTTCCTTCTTTCAGTAGTATTCCCATTTTCAACAACCTACAGCATATTCATAATTTATGTAATAAAACAAACAGATATATGTGGGTATTGCAGACTATTGCATCATAAAGAACATACCCATGGGCAAAAGAAGAAACAGGAACAGATTATTATGAATATGCATGAATGTTAGAAACAAAAGCGACACAGACCAATTTACGATTGAATGCATCTGAGACAAAAGGTAAACAAGACTGGAGAAAAGTCATCTAGCTAAAATCCAAAATACAGAGAGTAAAACATATGTCAGACCTAAGCACAAATTGGGCCAGAACATGCTAGTTATTAAGAATCCAAAAGCAGAATAAATAGCTAAGATAAATGTTAACAGTTGACAAGAATCCTACCATGATAACCTCTGAGGGAAATAGCATAACCATTTAAGGAGTTACAAGACTAGGTATGATTTCCTAGCTATAGTTTTGAGTACAGTTTCTCTAGCTTTTTTTACTTTACTATATAGTCAGTATTTCTTCACAAGAAGAGTGTTAGGCCATAATTAACTTGTCAGATCAAAATAATGAAATCCACCACAAGAGCACATAAGTAAGGTGAAAATAACCATTGGAATACAATGCTCTTGCTGGGCAAAAAAAAAAAAGCATTGTGTAAAAAAAATAGGTCAAAGTCCTTAAAGATTTCACAGCATTGCTAGAATATGTTTGGATGGAACCAAGATAATATGACAGTATGCTGAGAAGTGAAGACCTTCTGGAGAACAGCTAAATACGAAACAAGTGCCTGTGCATCCGCTTCAGGAAACTCAGGCATCACGCTTGCAGAAGATTGAAGGGATTCTTTGAACTTTTCTTCATAAATAGATAAGCAATCAAACAAAGTGCTCCAACCAAGTGAACGGTAAACTTTTCCCTGGAGCAGTTCGTAGACTTTGGCAGCACCAACTTCACTGGAAGCCTACAAGACCAGATTGTTACAAACGGTGTAAAAGATTGAATGTGCAGCAGTGTTATGCAACATTTTGCATACCAAAGTACTAAGAAGTCCAAGGAATGCCACAAGAGTTAGTGTATTGGTGTGATCTTCTCCTGCAGATATGACAAAGGTCCAAAGTTCCTCGTTTCCATGCACTAGCTCAGGTTCTTTCTGGCGAGAGCACATAAATATCAAATAAGTGATGTCCTTGAAATTAGAGCTTAGTAAAGTGAAAAACATCATGGGAAAGCATACTTGAACGCCTTCTATTTACAGCAATAGACATATTCTGTAATAGAAAAAAGGAAGAAAAAAGAGAACAGTGCGAGCATGTAATGTCCAAAAATTCAGAATTTCGCAACTAGGAAATGCAGATCAAGGTTGTCATAACTCAATAATATAAAAACATCCATCCAGTTCAAAATTACAAGAGTTGATAGCAGCAGCTAGAGAAGAATTTTTTTAATGGTGCGGCACCACTCAAGCTCACATCTTAACTCAACTTAGAATATTTGTGGTATGGCTAAATTACGCAGCAATTGGCAAGAGTCCCTATTTTATGCATTCTACAGATCTTTTAAGCATTATTGTCTAGAAAACTGTCACATGCCACATTTGTGATTTGCCCGGTTGCCCAACATCTACATACAGTTATATCATAGATATATATACCTATGTCAAACTAAAGGTTGCATCTGTTTAGAAGTCAAACTGTGGTTAAGACAGATATGCTCAGAATTGACAGAGCAATTGCCTAGAACTGTGTCGAACTTGTGAAGTTTTCTCCCTAGAACCTGTAGTTTGGAATTGCAGTAGTTTGTTTCATAAGGAAGCACCAAAGCACAATCATACCAGCACAAGTGTTATAGTCTTACAGAAATAAGAGTACACAAATTATACTTAGTGAAACTAAAGGGGTATATAAACTTCCATAGTTCCACGAAAATCAAACTAAATCATGTATGTGCAGTTTGGTTGATACTGTTGAATATATTGATGTAAGAAACAATACCTGGTATATTTCTCTAACTAATTCCAGGAGAGATATGAAAGGCTGATTGGTAGGCTGGCCAATTTGTTCTCCAGTTCTGCTAGGGTCTTCTCTATGATCTCTTATTGACCCATATGGACTGAGGGCATTCATTGTTTTTTCCTTTATTTCCTTTATCTGTTATCAAGGAGACATGTCACTATTGGCACCCATGAACTCAAGAAAGGCATTAAACATCTCGTTATATAGCCGTATTTTGAGCAACTACTCTAACCTTGTCTCTAGAAGTTGGATGGGAAAGAAAGCACATCATCAACTTGTGCATGTAGCCAGTGTACATGTAAACAATGTCCTCATCGTCATTCTGCATCAAATGAGAAAGAAACAGCAATAGCTAGAAAATTATATGATACCTCCATATCTAGATAACAGATGTTTGGAATTCTTGCAAAGAAACTTTGACCAATATAATATATGAAGAGCGTAAAGACAGGCAACAAGAAATACTGAACTCACTTCATGTGTCCAATCTACATACTTATGCATATATTAGTGATCAGAGTTTGCCAAATATGATAGGGAAAAAAATAACAGTTATTGCAGTAGGTGCCGCCAAGAAAGCGGTGATTGCAGGCTGGGATATAGCACCCATAGTGTAGGAAGTTGTATTTGCAACAGATGTCACAGGATATGTATGCTTGGTGTGTCCCTAAAATCAATGCATAGTATGTAGTTCACGTTAATTTCATAGAACACATTATACACACAAATTTAAAAATGTCAATATTTTAGATTATGGTGTGGGAATATGGCGTATGCTATCCAGCAACTACTTGTGCTAACATGGCCAAGCACTTCGTTTTAAGGCATTAAACTAACTGAAAGTACTAATATAGCCATTGTAATCATCTGCAACCATGCAAAATCGCATGCTCTATTTCAACTTACGCTCAAACAAAAGCAGTACACCTTCTGATCTCATGAATCATGATGCAAAATTTCATGAACTCAAATTCCTGGGAAGCAGCAACGTACTTACTTCATACTTACAGGTCAAACAGGCAAAGCCACATTAGAGTGATAGGGAATAACATGATCCATACTTTTATGCACGGTAGCAACATACTTTCTTTAACCCGACAACCCAGGATGCTAGCATAAAGACAGTAATAAATACCTTGTAGGCAGCTGTTTGCATAATACGTTCCTGCAAAAATTGAAAACTATTCTGGCGACAGATTATCTCCAGACATGCCCATATATCTGTCACATCTCTCGAAGAACTAGTGAGAGTATCTCTTGCACTGCTTCGATCTTGAGTTAACATCAAATGAACTGCCCATGCAAGTCGCACAACACCAACAAATCCTTCAATAGTCAAATTGTTATCTGACCTCATCACCTGACATGTTAACAATGAAAGCATGCAATGAGCATGTTTTTTTCCATATGTTCCAACTAAACAAATAATAGGAAAGAACTCATTGGAAATATAGTCAGGTTGGGCATCTGTAAAGATTACCAGCTCATGAAAATCACGCCTGAACGAAGAATCGGAAGATGACAAAGATGGTTTCTCATGGGAAGTACTTAAGGCATCAGAAACAAAAGTTACTACAAGAGAAAAAAGAACGCCATAGGTGATCTGCAACAATAAATGATAGTAAGAGTTGTACAACAACAATAAACAATTCAAATTATACCAATAGCATGTCTACAAATGCAATTTCAAAGTCATTTGTTCAAACTTCAAACCTGAAGCTCCACGCTAGAATTTTCATTAACTTCAGCTGCACAGTCTTTTAACAATGAAAATACATCCTTAACCTCCCTGGGACCTACATAAAGTTCATCATTAGTGATGGTTCTCTATCACTCAGAAAAACTATCAAGCTTCCTATATTTGAATTTCAGGGAAAAATATTGAAATGATGGTCACTCAAGTCACTAAGCGGACACATCAGAAGGTCAAATCAGGTGATATTAGCAACTATACAGAGCATTTAACTTACTCATCAATTTAATAAGTGCAGAAAGAGCAAGGCAGTGGCTCAAACTTAATCTCTCGCGAGAAACAATGGCACGCCTCTCCACAAGAGCCCCTCTGAAATCAAGCACATAATGCTCAGAGCTTGGTTGGCCAACACCAGTTGATTCTTCACGATTAAGTTCCTTTATGGGGAGAAAAGTTAAAACCGTCAATCTTAGTTTCACCCAAAAAAAAAAGATGATATGAAACCTTTCCATATTCACAGCACAATAAATTTTCCCAAATATGATACGCCCTTTGTTATAAGTGATGCCGCAGACATGACACAGCTTCCAACAAGAGTGCAAATATGTCGAAGAATAATAATAAAAGAAACACTATGGTATGTTAAATGTTCATAAAAATCTAGGTACGAACCTAAATAAATATAAATAAATCAAAGCTAAGAAAGTTTACTAGAAGTCTTATAAAATTGCTATATATTTTTCAGTGCTTAATAGTTCCAAAGAAGTGCTGATGGAACGTCATAACTTCAGATTGAACTGCAAACATGATATGAATAGAAAATGTCAGAACAGCACCAATATTTGCTAGTTCCCTACCCACATCAATTGCTTCAACTATTTTTAAGCCTACAAGCTAGAGTTCAAATGCACTCTCCAGTTTTCCACATTTATCACAAAAATAGGTTAAGCCCGTACATTGCATCTGTCAAGAGAAGACTCCAAATCTGCATTAGCCTTCTCATTGTTACTACAGCATTCGTGTTCAACATTGCTCATTAAATAAAACATGAAAGAGAGTACACAAGCTCCATCAAATCTAACCTTTACTAGTGTAATTATACGCTGCCCGAGACCCTCAATAAATAGAGCCTCCATTTGGTTTTGTATTTCATACATCAGATCAGCATCAAGCCCTTGGTCAAGTACAACAGACTGCAGAAGATAAAGAGAACTATTAAATGCATCATTCAAAACTCAGACTAGTTAATAACTGGAATGAGCACGATCAATAGACTACCCGTAACAGAATGTACAAAGAGGTTATAAGATCCCTTCTCTCCATGTACCAAAGGCCAGCTGCGAGCCTATATATTTCCAGTGGCTCTCGGCCATATAGAACCCACTATAAAACCACCACCGCACAAATGGTCAGGTGAAGTAAACATAGATAGTATAGAATTAGAGATAACTATTATACTGAAAAGTGTACCTCCCTGTTGGCGTCAACTAGCAATCGAACACACTCAATCTCATTAAGATTGAGTTCATCACTCAATTTCAGGGCCTGAAAAAATGTATATGAGCTTTGACTTGAGTGAAGAAAACAAAAGGAAGAGCCCTCAAAATAATGTCATTTATCTGGGGACAAATGATGATCAACAAATAAATGATAAATCACGGGGATCTACATTATAGGTGAAAGTGTGCAAACAACAGCCATCCCAGATCTGATCCTTCAATATAAAGAAGCAAATAATGGGTGATGCAACCAAATGGTAATGTTTCCACACTAGCATAGCAGACGTAGTGCACATGTAAAGACTTGTCAGAATAGGTTCAAGAATTCAAACATTGCACTGGATGGGCAGTTGGGCACTAAGGCTTGTTTTCTCTAGCATATATCTTAAGCATAAAAAGAGTGGTGTCATAAGCCATGTTGATGCTTACTGTATTTGAAGCACAACAGTAATTTCTAACGGTTCTTTGGTTGGCCAGTATCAATTAAAAAAATCAACAAGCTCTAGTCTTAATTTTACTTCACTGTGTTAATTAGCATTTGTTTTGAGGGAAATAGGCACCTAAAGCAAGTAGTGTCATATGCGATCTCAGTTAGTCGCCTTAAGATAAGGTCACAGCTCAAGAGTTCACAAATTTGAACAATTGTCCTACCAAAGATACATGTCTGTCATTGATACATTGCATAACAAGCTACCTCCCACCCAAAAAATCACCTCCAGAAACATATTTGACCACAAAGCCACCAGATTTTATAGAAAGCATTTCATTGTAAAACTACAAAGAAACAAAAGCACTAAATCAACTGAATACTCAGGAAGAGATAAAATCGCACTATCTCGCGGGCAAAATTACAGCTCATCTCAACAGACTTGATACTATTTTGCAACTATGACCCCACATAGGATCTCTACCAGAGACTAATCAAAAGTTTCAAGTTTCGCCCAACATCAGGGGTACATAAATCACGTGATGCTCACCTTAAGCAGAAGAATTACGCATTTCTCACATGTTCCAAGCATAACCAGGTAAATGCATAGCGCATCACACCAAATGGTTGGCGAGGGAGCTTACCGTCTGCACGTCGGTGTCATCGAGCGTTATGGGAGGCATGTCCGGGAGCCGCACTTCCTTGGCCTCCACCTGAGTCCGATCCGACGCCTTCGGCCCCTACCAACACAAACCACAGAGACGCCCAAAAACCCAAAACACCCCGAAATCAAAACCGAGCTCCCGGACGAACACCGAACGATTCCTACCGCTAGGGGCGGCGAGGGGCTCACCGGGTAGGAGAGGAGCGCGCGGAATGCGGGGGCGGCATCGCGGACGGCGTGGAGGAGCTCCACGCGCTGCGCCGGCGACGGCGGGGATGGCCCGAGCAGCGCCGCCTCGACGACGGCCAGGAGCTCGCGCGGCGGGGGCGGCGGCGGCATGGCCGGGGTGGAGGTCGCTCGCCGGAACCCTAGGAGGAGAGGTGGCGGAGCAGGTGGTCGGCGGAACGGGGGAGGGAGGGGAGATGGGTTTTAAAACCCTAGGCGAGCTCGCGGCGCGGCTTCCGGGTTTTTGGGGAGCTTTGAGTTGAGGCCATCGTGAGTTGTTCCGCGCGACCAAATTACTAACAGTGGCAAATAATTAAAAGCTCCCTTATAATGTGACCATAAATCTGTCGCTCTGACGGCTCCGTCCAAAATTTGTTGTCGTGATGTTTTATGAGTTTTTTTCCTTTAAGTTCTTTATTTTCTTTTTAGAGGGTTTCTGAATTCTGATGCTACGAGATCCATTGGTGTTTTCAAAAATTACAAAAGTTTGAACTAGTAGAATCTAAAACATCAATCATAATTAAAAATAACACCTAATTATATTATACACTGAAAAAGCGTGCGATCTCCATAATAGGAGTAGCAATCGGTGATGAGACTGTAGGAGAACAAACACTATGTGAAAAAAATAATGGGAAAAGGTAGCCATAGGCTATATGGAGCATGGAAGAATGTGAAGGAGCGCATATAAGTATGTTTGGTTTCGTACAACAAGCTTTACCCTATCCTACAACATATGGCAACATCTTGTTTAGTTCCCTTTTTTTTTGCGAGACATGTCTTTAAACATACAAAATGAAGGTTTTTGCCTTGCGGAAATGAAATTCAAATATGTTTCACCAGCCTACATGATGTAAGCCAAAAAAGGTAGGCAGTGTATGTTGTCTCGGGACAAAACTTATTCGATACAAGTGTATATCCAAGGAAAAAAACGTGGGAGCGAATTTCAAGCTAGGGTTTAAAAAATTCCCTCGTTGGTCACACACCTAAGCATAGGTCTAGGGCCCGGCCTAAATCGCTTGTCGTTCTCACATATGCTACGGTGTCGTTTGTGTAAGAGTGGGCCAAAGGTTCGGAGCTTTTATCTAACAGCTTGAGAAGGTCTTTTTCTTTGCAAAGTGCCCGGGCTTACCCCTCTCAAGTCGAGTTTTTTTTAACTCATATATAACCAACCGTCACAGTTGTTGACGAAAAAATCAAACACACTGGCCTGGGAGATCTGCTTAACTCCTGTGCAGGTCCAAAGGTTGGTGAGATGCGGGCGTGCCAGTCAGTTTGATCCTGCAACTGACAAGATATGCAAATAGTAGATCAAACAGTCGATCAGCTGACAAGCCGACGGAGTAGTTCCAGCCGATAGCCGATAAATAGCCGATGCCGATACCAGCCGATAGCGATAGGGTTTAAGCAATCGGCTATATGTCCAATGTAGATAATGATATAAAGACAATCGGTTGATGATGATGTATATAACAATATGATCCAATATAAACCAATCGGCAAAAAATGATATGATAAATAAGCATCGATTCGAAGGTTAAAGCATACATCAGCTGGAGATCCGATGTTATAAAATCCACAAGATTATATTAAACAATTAAATCTTTATTGCGATCGGCTAAATCCAATATGTATACAATCCTTGTAAGCCGATGCAACGCCTAGATAACTCATCGGCTGAAACCCCGATGAAACCCTTATTGGCAGTCAAAAAACAGGCTAGAGATTATGGTTCTAAGCACGAATTAGTAGATCAAACTTAACTGATGCAGCACTAAGTATGAAAAGAAACACAATATCTAGACAACCAAGCTGTTGACTGATTTTCAGGGTGGTAGATGCCTAAGCTAATCTAATCTAGCAAGGTGATTTAGCCGATACCGGTAGAAACCCTAAAGCGAGAGACAGCCGATAGAGCTAAATTGAGATGCTAGGACTAGATTAACATAGACATATGATAAATAGCCAGGCAAATATATTATCCAAACCAGAGTAATCCGAGAGGTCGAATGTACTGATGCAGCCTTGAACGACGCCGACGTAGATGATACAATTGCCTGGACCGGTGGAACATTGGACTTATCCCTTCGCCGGAGATCGAAGACGATGCAGCCCCGCGTCGGGTTCCAAATTCCGCCGGAACGTAAAAACAAAAGTAGAAGTAAAAAGGGTCGCGATGCGCCAAATTGTATTGATCGTAGCGATAGATTACATAGACCCCGGGTGTACATATACCCATGGGTATAAAAATCCTTGTCGGATAAGAAAGAAACCTTCCTAAAAATAAAAGGAAAAGATAAAGTCTTATAGGACACTAAACACACTTTCCTAAAGATAAAAGGAAACTAACAAACTATTCCTAATTAATAGATAACTTGCCATACTGCATTCTCTTTGAACTCAGTCTCTTCTGGATAAGCTTCCTTTAGTAGATCAATTTCCTTAACTGAATATAGCAAGAATCTGACAACTGACGACTTGAAAACTCTCATCGGCTAATCTCAGGACGTCGAAGCCAACGCTGACTCTAAGCCGATGACTATTCCGGGCTTATCGAATTTCACTGTTAACAACAGTATGGGTATAAAATTAGGATGAGTTTGGTGAAACGGCTAACTCGGAACTAAAGGCATCCTTAGTGACGATGAGCCGGTAACAATACATGACAACACATATAGCATAAAAAAACAGCATAATAGTTAATTACCTTTGAAGTTAAAGGTTGATGTATACGTCACCTTATAGCGTGTAGTTGCGTTGGATCATGACAACGAGAAAAAATTGTGCCAAAGGCGAATCTTTGGTGGCATGAGGATGAAATAAGTTCTAAGTTATTGCATCATCGCCTTTTCGATCTTATGGTCCCATAATAATTTTACATAGAGTTGTGTGCTACTCATTCGTGTATTCATACAAATAGGTCCATCATGTGTTCATCACATTATATCAATAACACTTGAATTTAACATAACAATCCATCACTCATAAAATCAATCCATCCTCTATAAGCATTCGAAGGAAAGACAAGTATAAGTGTTGAGTGAGTTGGAGTGATGATGGTCCTTGTCAGATTCTATCATCGTAGTGGCATAAATGTATGCAATACCCAAAGTTTCAAGTGAGAAAAGAACAAATCTCACATTTTGAGCAGTGGCATATCCACTGTGTGGGTTTTGTCAACCGTACCACTAATAGTTTTTCTATACCAACACTAGTTAAAGACTACGATCGAAATCCTGGTGATAACTATAGCTCCTAATCTAATGGTCGGTTGCTCGTTACTAGTCCAAAGGGATATTTTTTTATCAGTTACGTCTTATTTTCTTACAATATTACTATTTATCATTTCACTTCAGAAGGGGAAAAAAACTCGCCTTCAATTTTGAAATTGTATCACAGAAAATGAGAGTTTTTATTTTTCCATTGTCTGTTAAGACCTTGTAACCAGCTGAATATCATCTTGCTAGGATACCGATACTCTTCTTATTTTTTTTATCGAAACCACTCTTTGAGACCTGTGTGGCCATACACAAGATTACCTAGATGGTGACAACCGATGTGCGATATTTGTCCGCACAATTCATTCACATATATACATTCTGACATAGAGTCTGCATGGATTCACGAAACCAAATCACCTTCCAAAACCGCTATGAAGTCCGTTCCCTCTGCTTTTCACGAAAACCATCTTAAAAACCATTGACTAGCCGTGAAATTCAATTAACTTTTACCAAAACTTTAAAATCTAGTTAAACTCTTTTTTCCTAGCTCGACCAATTTACTGAGCGGTTTTGTGATCTCAACCCAACAAAAAAACCTATTTAAGTTTCCGCGAAAACCAAGTGGTTTCGTAATAAACCATCTGCGCACACGCACAGAAGCCCACAACCTTCCCCGCGCGCGAGTACCAGCCTCGTCGCCGGGCAACCCAAACGTGCCCCCGCGCGTGCGCGCGCGGCTCCGTGCTCCGCTCTCCAGCCACCTATCTATTCTAGCCCCTTACGTTACGGCCTTTTACGTTACTACGTACAGCTAATCTACCAGCTCCGCTTTCCATGAACACCGCCAAAAAGCCCAAAACCTCCCTTGCTCTTTGCAGCTCATGCTCTTTCTTTCTTTGCCCGACGCCAAATTGCCAATGCTTCGATTCACGCCTTCCATTCCATTCCATCCCAGCCTCCTAACAACCAGTAGCACATTGCTTGCATGCCTACCTTCGAAAATCGCAGAGCACATGAATGCACCTGCCCAGGACCACGGCCACTGTCCGTTTCTTCCTCCTCGAGAAGGAGCAACTGATCGAACTGCGCACGCACGCAGTAGCTAGCATCGCATCGCCCGTTTCTGTTGCGAGAAAGAAGCAAGCAAAGCAAAGCGAAGCGCTGATCATGCGCGGCACGGCGCAGCCTGCGGATTCAGTGGCATCGTGCAGCCGGTATTGCAGATGAGACAAGCCGGGAGATGGATGCCGTTGGTGGAGTGCCCGGCGGGGAGCGGGGCTTGCTAGCTGTGTGGGGGGCTTTTCGTCGCGAGGAGTGCACGCCACCGTGCAGGTGGTGGACGGGACGGAATGGCTATAAAATGGGGGCGCCATTGCCAAGAATCCCAAGAACACCAGCCAGGAATCAGAAGCCAGAAGCAGCAACGCTCGCTCTGATTCTTTCTTTCCTCCTCGAGCTAGGTGCGTAGTTGTCATATTTGATCGATCGGTTTTAGTTCTTCTTGTTTAATTTTGATTGCGCTTGTAGCAGCAGGAAGTAGTTTTAATTTTGGTGTGATCGATGGCGGCGATGATGGCGGTGACGACGATGGTGACGAGGAACAACGCCGTCGGCGGCGGCGCGGTGGCGGTGGTGGACAGGAAGGGGTGGTTCGTCCCGGAGGTGTCGTTCCCGTGGAGCTCGGTGGAAGGGGAGTGCATCAACAGCAGCAGCAAGAGGTTGGAGTTCCCTCGCCGGACGGCTGCGCCGCCGCTGTTCGCCAGCGTCGGGCTCAGCTTGCCGTCTGCGGCGAAGGGCCGGGACAACTGCGACGTCGCGCGGCAGCTCGCCGCCGCGGAGGCCGAGGAGGCGGCGGGGAAGAAGAGGCAGGGCAGGAAGATGAAGGGCGGCGGCGGGCTGCTGTCGCTGAGGAAGGTGAGGGTGAAGATCGGGAACCCGCACCTTCGCCGGCTGGTGAGCGGCGCCATCGCCGGCGCCGTGTCGCGCACCTTCGTGGCGCCGCTGGAGACCATCCGCACCCACCTCATGGTCGGCAGCTGCGGCGCCGGCTCCATGGCCGAGGTCTTCCGCTGGATCATGCGCACCGAGGGCTGGACCGGCCTCTTCCGCGGCAACGCCGTCAACGTCCTCCGCGTCGCCCCCAGCAAGGCCATCGAGGCAACCAACTCAACCTCACACCCTCCACTTTGTTTTTCTTTGAATTTCTCGTGATCGAATCCATGGCGTCCTGCAGCATTTCACCTACGACACGGCCAAGAAGTACCTCACCCCGGAGGACGGCGAGCCTGCCAAGATCCCCATCCCCGTCCCCCTCGTCGCCGGCGCCCTCGCCGGTGTCGCCTCCACCCTCTGCACCTACCCCATGGAGCTCGTCAAGACCCGCCTCACCATCGAGGTAAACACAAACACACACAAACCCCCATCAAAACCTTCAAAATCGATCAAACTAATCACGAAAGTGGATTTTTTTCCCCCTCCAGATGACATCCCCTAGTTTTGTGTATGCGATTCAATACATGATATATCTTTTGCAAATATGCAAGTTAAAATTCAACTTATACAATTCGAAACAAAAATAACAAATTTGACCCATAAATTACGCGTTCTACTCGTACAAGTTAAATTTAAATTTGCATGTTTGTGAAGTGACATATCTCTATTCTACTAAAATTTTTTAATGATCTTTTAAGTGACATGTAAAAATGAGGAGATATCCCAAATTGAGTTTTCCAACTAATCACCACCGCCATTGTTGCGTTTTCTTGCAGAAGGACGTGTACGACAACGTGCTGCACGCGTTCGTGAAGATCGTGCGGGAGGGCGGGCCGGGGGAGCTGTACCGCGGCCTGGCGCCGAGCCTGATCGGCGTGGTGCCCTACGCGGCCACCAACTTCTACGCCTACGAGACGCTGCGCCGCCTGTACCGCCGCGCCACGGGGCGCGCCGACGTCGGCCCGGCCGCGACGCTGCTCATCGGGTCGGCGGCGGGCGCCATCGCCAGCACGGCCACCTTCCCGCTCGAGGTCGCCCGCAAGCAGATGCAGGTCGGCGCCGTCGGCGGCCGGCAGGTGTACCGCCACGTGCTCCACGCCATGTACTGCATCCTCCGCGGCGAGGGCGCCGCGGGCCTCTACCGCGGCCTCGGCCCCAGCTGCATCAAGCTCATGCCCGCCGCCGGCATCTCCTTCATGTGCTACGAGGCGCTCAAGAAGGTACTCGTCGAGGAGGAGGCGGCGCCGGAGCTGGAGGCGGAGTGCGCGGAGGAGATCAAGGAGAAGGTTGCGTGAAGTGGTTTGGGCTCGCCGGCGCCGGAGAAGATGGTGGCTGATTGTGCATGGGTGTGATGATGGAAGCATGCAAGAAAAGAAGAAAAAAAAGAAGCAAAAAATGGAGAGAAGTTTGTGGTTGCTGTGGTTTGAAGTTGGATGAATCATCGTAGGATTCGATTTCCTCTGTTCAGGAGGCATATGGTGTGTTTTCAATGAAGTGATGCATTTCAAGTTTGTTTTCAATATATCTATGTATTGCATTTCAAGTTTGTTTTCAATAAAATCTATGTATTTCCAGTTCAATTTAGTTCAACTAGCATGATGGCCCGCGCAGATTGCGCGGCTAGCATCATTATATTTTCTCTCATATAATAGCATATATGTTTTCTCATTATATTATTCAAATATATTAAAATGACAACATAATTTTAAATTTTGCAATAACTTTACAAAACTACTAATGTGTAATATTCATATTGCATTTTATATACGTGTTAGTTATTAATTATTTTTAAGATAAAATTTTAGTTATTTGTAAATTATATATATTCATATATGGACTCTAGACTCGTCTTTTAATATTTCTTTTTTCTGTAAATTGTATTTCTATATAGACTATATGTTCTTCTTCTAATATTATTTATTTTTATTTCTGAAATTTTATTATTTCTAATTGTATTTCTATGTGGACTCTAAACTCATCTTTCAATATTATTTAATTTTTAATTTCGAATTTTAGTTACTTCTAAATTGTATTCCTATATTAGCATTAAACTCTTCTTCCCATTTTTTCTTAATTTCGAATTTTAACTATTTGTAAATTGTATTTTTATACGGACTCTAAACTCTACTTTTAATTTTATTATGTTTATTCCAAATTTTATTATGGACTCTATACTCTACTTCTAATATTCCTTATTTTTAATTCCGAATTTCAGTTATTTCCTAATTGTATTTCTACATGGACTCTATACTCTACTTCTAATATTCCTTATTTTTAATTCCGAATTTCAGTTATTTCCTAATTGTATTTCTATATGGACTCCGGTCTCCTCTTCTAATATTCCTTATTTTTTAATTCCGAATTTCAGCTATTTCCTAATTGTATTTCTATATGGACTCCGGTCTCCTCTTCTAATATTCCTTATTTTTTAATTCCGAATTTAAGCTATTTCTAAATTGTATTTCTATATGGACTCTGCTTTTTCTTTTTCTCCGATTAATGTGAGAATTTCTAGGCCATGAGAGCGAATGTGGAGGCTCCTTTTTCTATTCCTTTAATTATATAATAGATTTCAACTTTTTAGACCGATGTACCTGCGATGTATTGGATGGTATTCTGCATTTGGAGATGGGTTTGTTGTGATTTGGATTTCTCTACCAAATGTTTCAATTTAATTTAAGTATTTGCAGATGGGTTTATGTGTCTGATGAATTAAGGCCCTGTTTGTTTCAGCTTAAGACCTGTTTGTTTCAATTTAAGATTATTATAATCTAGATTATTAAATCTAGATTACTCTAAGCTGGATTATAATAAGCTGACATAAAATAAGCTACGAGTTGTTTATTTTTCTGGATTATTAGAGGCATATAAGGGTAGTGGGTCTTTAGCCACTCAATAATCTAGAAAAAGCATCTCTAGAGGAGATTATTATATTATAGTAATATGGCTTATAGATTATAATAATCTAGCATAATAATCTACTGGTTTGTTTCAGCTTACAGTTTCATCTTACTCATAATAATCCAGATTATAATAATTCTAAACTGAATCAAACAGGGCCCTAAGTTTCGTTCCCAGCACATGATTTCACTATCTGGAGATGCAGCTGTGATGCATCTGATCCCTGTATTTCCAGTTTGATTTCACTTTTAGCGCATGATGGAGAGAAGCATCCATCAACTACACAAAGAACAAGACTTTTAAAGCAATTAGACATCTTCCAAATGTAAATTGGGGCAAATCAAGATGAGCACCGTACTCATACACCTTCACTGTCATAAGTTGGCATCAAAACTTAACCAATCAAGTAAAAGCACACCAAATAAGCTGTGCCACTAATTGATTACACAAGCCCTTGATGTATCAAGGAGTTCCAAATACAACACCTAGCAGCAGAATACTAAAATTAAAGCTACAACAGGAAGCTTTTTGGCTTCTAATATTAGCTTTGCTCCTCGGCCTCAGCCTCCGCTGCCGCGGCCTCCCTCTCTTCCGCGGCTGCTGCCATCAGTTCGTCAAATTTGTCCGTCTTGCCCAGCACTATTTCAATCTGGCCAAGACAATCATAGGATTTCAGGAAACGCTCACTTATACATCTGGAAAAAGTAAAGATCTACGTTAAACATGGGAAGAACATTAACCTTGGCTTTCTGCATAGGGCGACTCCTCGAATCATCTTTGACGTCAACAGTAGATGTCATAATCTCTGCACAAATTTTGGAGTAAGCTACGAGAACAGAAGGAGGATGCAATCAAGTTATCAATTATGAGAAACAAGACTCACTCTTCTCGACAGCAAGGCCATTATTTTTCAGAATTTCAGCAACAGTCACCACAGTTGCAATAGCTGTCAGGGAGAAAGTTAACAGGTAAGGAGAGCATAAAGGAATTCATGTATATGAACAAAGCATAAGTCCAAGGGGGAGAAAAGGGAAAGCACAACGAACCAAGTTCACGTCAACACTTTGTCCGAAACATTAAAATACAGAAAATGTTTCACGCCAACATTAAGGCTTTTTTATATATAAATGGTATACTAAAATCAATGTGAATTGCAATCCTTCGGTGCCAAAAACATGCCATAGCATAAGTAACTTATCACTTTGCCTTATTCAAGTAGACCAGACAATCGTAAATTGCAACAAGAAGCTACAAGGGAGGGCAAAAAAAAAAATAATGGTGAACATGACATTGGTAGTTTCGGATTTGGTCAAAGGATCAACACAGATCATTTTTTTACAGAAACAAAAAATTGCTATGATTTTGCTTGTTAAGAACAAAAATACTGACGATTGGGCACATTATTCCATCCGGGAAGCCTAGGCAGAGTAACCCCAAGAATTTCTACTGTTATAAAAGAAAATACTGATCCATTGGTCAATAATTTGATGCTTTTAGTAATACAGACACTATCTATCTATCTATCTATACTTCTCAAGCTAGTTGGTTTCCATAATAGAAAAGCCTGCAAAATTCCTACATTTGAAAGACCTCTAAAAATACGAACAGTTATAAATTAGCAATCACCCACCAATTTGCAGGTGTTTCTATAACCAAAAGGTAATTCTGATCTACATTTCAACTAATCACTAATGAAGTAGCTTAGTGAGATTAAATCAACAGAACAGGTGCGCCTAAATCAATAAACATGAAAAGCATCCGGAGGAAAGCACATACCCATGCCGAGTGCCGAGAGCTCCACTTCGTTATGCAGCTGCATGTACCTCTGCAACAAAGCAAACATCAAGCACCAAATTAGCTATCTCCGTTTCAAATCCAGCCAAATCCGCAGCCATGAGCCCTACCGCAAGCGGGGTTTATCTAGGGTTTAGATAAACCCCACGGAGAGCAGAGCAAAAACCCATTCCAAATATACACCCTCATAAGCCAAGAAACGCAACAAATCAAAATCCCCACGAAACAAGGCGCTTTTCTTCTCGCCTCTCGATTAATCTTTCTCCCCCACTTACCTTGGCGAGGTTGACGTAGAAGAAGAGCGGCTTCTTGGTGTTGGAGACCTGGATGCGGTTCTTCTTGTGCGCCTCCGCCGCGCCGCCGCCCGCCCCGGCGGCTTCTCCCGCGGCTATGGTGAGGTTGCCGACCGCCTCCGTCACCTCCTCCATGGCCGCCGCCCGACGAGTCCCCGCGGAGCACCGTGCGCGAGTGAAACGGAGAGCGCGAGGCGGCGAAGAAGATGTGGAGGATTTCGGCGGCGACGGAGGTAAGAGGGAGGGGGGAGAGCCCTATCGCCCGCGTGTGTGGGATTTTATACGGGGTAGGGTTACGGTTTGGAGGCTTTCGGTTTTTCCCCATTTCTGTTTTCGGAATCAACTCAGCTCTGTACTCTCCCCCCCCCCCCCCCCCCCCCCCGTCCCAAAATCTAACCTCATTTATTTTTTAATAGAGTAGTAATGCTATATTTGTGATTATTTTTAGTCTTGTCGACACTCTTATATAATTCAAGTGTATATCTTTACGCATATTAAATACATTTACGTGGCACCACTAATCATATCTTACTGTAAAATTGATACTCACTAACTTATAAAGTTTAACATGCAAGTATATTACATCAGCATCCATCCCTCCACCACATCATTGTACTGCCCATTAATGCTCCTATTCATCTACAACAAAGTCTCCCACTATGTCCTCCCTAAAATATCATGACTGCTTGATGATTTGTGATAAAGAGGAGTCTTTCAAGTTAAAGGTTAAAGAAAGAAGAATGATAACTAGAATGAAAGAGGAGGAAAAGGCAATATAATAATAAAAAAAGACAATAAAGGGTCAAATAAAAGAATAAGTAGTAAGAACTAGTTAGTATAGATTCTTATCCCGTGTGGTTATGGCTCATGTGTTGGATTCAACTCCAGTGGGTAAAACAGTCCAAAGTAACTACGTGGAGGCCAAAACATCAAGATTTTTCATGTAATGGGTCTAAGGCCAATGATTGCAAGTTGCATATAACACCTTGTATTTCTCAAACCAGGAATCAAATATCTCCCGAAACAATGGATCTACGTTAGAGTATATTTCTTTTTATTAGCAAGTGCACAACTAGAACATCTTTAAAATATGGTCCAATTGTTTGATCTACAGTTAATAAGCCATAGTTTATGGGCACAAAATTTATATTTATGTTATTGGAGGTTTAAAGAAAGATAAAACTACGATAAAATCTTGAAATGACATTAGTAAGACAACAAGCAAACAATGAGGAGCGCATACTCTCTTTTTATATCAAAAAATTGAGTGCTTATTGTCTTGTGTAAATGACATATTGGGCCAACTAAGAGCATCTTCAAATCTCATTCTCCAAATGCCTATTCGGTCAGTTTGACAAACCAAATGGTAGTCTAATTTACATTTCACCCCAACAACCTCTATTACACTATCCAAACTAAAAGTGGGTCCCACCTGCCAGCCTCTTTACTATTTCACCCCTTCTCCTTCACCCCTCCTCTCTCTCTTCCTTTTCTCTGTCGCACCACCGGCTGAATCCGCGCAGGGCTGGTGGTGGTGGAGGCCGTGCGGGGGTGGGGGAGTGGAGGTCACTGCCACCGTCCTCATTGTCTCGGGCATAGGCGGTGGAGGCCGCACGTGGATGGGCTAGTGACGAAGCGATGGCGCGGATTCGGGCGAATGGCGGCGACGTGGATTCGGGAGGACGATGACGACGCGGTTTCGGGCGAATGGTTAACGCGAGACCTCCTGCTCGTGTCCGCAAGGGCAGTGGCAACGATAGGCCGACGAACAGCAATGGTGGTCCTGTAGGGCGTGCTGCTTCTTCTCCGACTTCTCCTAAGGGGCACCGCCGCCTCTAGAGATCTCGCTGTTGGCTTGCCAGTCTGAGTGGACCGGGTCCCTTGCCTCCATCGGGTCGTTGGAGATCTCACCATCATCGAGCTTCTGCTACCGGACACTGGCTCTCCCCCTCGGCCACGCTGCTCCCGAATGAAGGAAAAATGAATAGGAGGTGGTGGGACCCATGGATGGCAAGTAGGATGGCCAAGTTTGGCAAGTGAAGGAAGAAGTCGATCATCGGATGGCTTGGAGTGGGATGGAGATGCCGTTGGAGTGTAATTTTTGTTCAAAGTTGCTAAAATTTTGATTTGGAGAGTGGGATGGAGAGGATGTTGGAGATGGCCTAAGTTTCACGCTACTCCCGAACGAAGGAAAAGTGAATAAGAGGTGGTGGGACCCATGGATAGCAAATAGGCTAGCCAAGTTTGGCATGTGAAGGAAGAAGTTTGATCATCTGGATGGCTTAGAGAGTGGGATGGAGATGTTGTTGGAGTGTAATTTTCATTCAAGTTGCTAAATTTTGGTTTGGTGAGTAGGATGAAGAGGCTGTTAGAGATGCTCTAAGTTTCACCAGGCTAAAATAGGAGAACCAGATGATATAAGAGCTCCTTCCGACCGCAAAATATTTACTGGGTTTTAATAGGAATCATCTCAATTTCCGTAAGATTTTAAAAGGTCCTACATTACAAAGAGGCCTAATTTTGGGGGTTTCTCAGGATAATCCTTAGAGATAAAAAGGATTCATAATAGTCCTTAGCCGTGACAGTACTTGACAAACGGAAAAAGTCCAGTTTTTTCATGTATGCTTGAATTTAAACACTTTTCTGACACACCGGGGAATAATTAAGGGACATGTAACAGGTTATACCAGTAGACAGTTGGGGAGAAAAAGTGAAAAAACAAAGTAACGAACTCTATAAGGACTGGTACGATAAAAATCCTTTGTAGAGAAAGGGGATCAACTCAAGTCTACCTTTTCAAGGAGTTGGGCCAGATATCAAAATTTACATAGTGCTTGGATTCAATTACATGATTACAGTTGAGAATCTGACGTTCTACCTGTATAGTGTGTATGACAAACGCATGTCAACATAGAGCAATGCCGAAGTGAAGCAAATCATTTCGAAGGTGGTCATTGCTGGATTTGCTTTGGTTGTTCTTGCTGCTTTTCATAATCCCCAAGCCTCTTCAGCCATCGCAAACCGAGATCACATCCAGCTTCAGCTGCAATTTGAAACTGCTCCTTTGCTAGCTTCACTGGATCCTGCTGTATGGGCCTTTTTCGCATCTTTCCAGTTGATGGACTCTTACCTGAGTTGAACCTGGTAATAACCTCAGGCACTTCAGCACCTGAACAATCACAAAATGAATGAGCTTCGGGATAATACTATTAACATTAACTTTCATAGAATCAGCTAACAAGTTTTTAATGGTGGGATACATAGCTTCACCGCCAGCTTTAGAGAGCCAAATGACCAATATTCCACAACAAATAGTTATATGTGATTTGCTCCTTAGTCATGACGCACTAGAGGGTTACTTTTGTACAAACCTTTTAATAGAAGTGATCCATATGCAATTGCAGCTCCAGAGTGTCCCTGCAGGTGGTGAGCAGAACAAAGAAAATCAAGTTTGAGTTGATATTCTATTCACAAGCAAGTCCAAGAGAAATCCCTACCTTTTCTGATGCTCTGTGGAAACACCACATTGCTGAAGCTATATCCCTCTTAACACAGTCTCCAGTTAAATATACAGCACCTAGAAGATACAAAGCACCAGGGTGCAACTGCAATCAAGCATTAAGTGTAATTGAGAAGATTCAGCAAGAAGCATACATGGAAAGATGTGTTCAAAATTCAGAGAAGCAAACCTGGTCAACAGCTTTCTCAATGTAATAAAAAGCCTGTTGGTCAGAGTGAACGTAGTCATTCTACAAGAGAAACAAAGGTAAACCATCAATTAAAGTAATGCAATGTCTGTGTGAATCAATCTGTATAATGAATTGCTCAATAGCATAACATAAAACTGCATGATTTAATCAATTAAGTGGAAGGGAAAAGTGCGAACAGAGCATGAAAACCTCAATTCTCAAATGGCATCCAAGTTCATACTGTGCATCTGGATCACCCATGTTTGCAGCTTCAACCAACAGAGCAGCACCACTGCACCCATGAAAAGTGAAGAGAGAATTGACTATCGAAAGATACGTGTGCAAATCTATCAACAGTAAGTTCTGTGCTTGCAGCAAATTAAATAATGTTCAACGAGAAGTCCTAGAGAGAGAATTCCTCTAGAACTTAACTACCTACCTGAGCTGATCCATGCAGCACACTTACTAACTATTTTTGTTAAGTCAAGATGCTAATCTCAAATATTTTGTAACCCAGTTTTTGCCAGCTTTAACTGCTGTGGTAGTGAACTTTGATGCAGTCAATTGGATGTGCACCCAATAATGAGTAAATGAGAAACACATTAAACGGAAAATACATGTCAGCATCTTTTCTTTGGGAGCCATATCAACTCCTACAGATTACATAAAAAAAGAAAACAACACCTACTGACATGTTCAATTTGTGTGGGCTCTTATAGAAGGAAGCAGTGGCGGAGCCAGGGCCGGCTACCATGGGCAAATGGCCTAGGCTCCACCAGGAGCATGCAGCAATTCACCAATTGATTAATGCCTAATAACCTTGCTTAGTCACTGGCAAGGCCGTATGAAGAAACAGCACAGCAGAAAACATGCTTAACACAAACTTATACTGCAAATGCTCACGCTAAAATGGTATATGAATTATATAGACTTGTATATACTTCATTTGTTGTTAGTCTTGCCCAGGCTCATGATAAAATTTTAAACCCGCCACTGGAAGGAACTACCTAAACTTAAAAATAATTCTTCAATTACCTCAAAACAACAATACTTAAAAATAATTCTTCAATTACCTCAAAACAACAATAGAAGCAGTGACTAAGCTAGCTTTTGCAATGTGCTTGCAGGTTCTTGGAATAAGAATGAATAGGAAATAAGAAAATGACCACGATGCAACTTGTAAGACATAATAGCAAAGAAAGCTGTGCAATACTAACATTGCCAGAAGTGAAAGTTAACCCACATGGCCTTACAAGCTCCAGGAACATGATACTTGAAATGCATCTTGGCAAGCCATAATCTCGCATGAGTGTTCATATTGTCGATCTCCAGAGCCAGCTCAAAATTTTCCTTTGCACCCTAATGCATAGCATCGAGAAGATTTACACAACAGAACGTAAAAAAAAAACATTGGTCCAAACCAATAGCTGACGCACTACACTATATGCAGGTGGTGTGCAACTTGTAAAGATTAGCAAGACAGTTCGGCACAGAATATCTCCAGACTTCAATTGGCAATGGCAAGAACCAATTGGTACTTGGTACACATTGGCAAATGAACGATTGGAAATAATAAAGGTCCAAACAATCGGGTTAGCTGGTTAAGTACCATTCAACACTGCAACACAAAGTTTCATTTCCTAGACTTAGGGCTTAATTCTAGGGCACTTAGACTATCGTGAATAAATGGAGCAAATGACAAAGACGAATCATCCAGAGCTGTACCCTGAGAAGTGGGATCAGGCGCTTGTCGTTGCGGTCGGCGTAGTCGATGACGCGATCAACCTCCTGCAGGGCGCTCCACCCCTTGGCCACCAACTCCATCGCCTTCTTGTTCCGGTCATGGATCCACCTCTACAAAGCATAATCACGTACAGAAAAAAATCACCCATTATATCGTCAAATCCATCACCGAACGCCCGAGCTACAACGCCAAAAAAAAAAAAACCCCGCTAGGTTTTGCAGCATTCCCGATTGGGGGAGATGAGATTGAAACCAAAAAAGATGGCCAAATCCAAGCCGTGCCATTTGACGCCCAGCCTCACCTGCGGATTCAGCGCGTGGGCGAGCTGGTTGGCGAGCCTGGAATGGGAGGACGACGCGGCGGCGGCGGCCGCCACCCGCCGAGCCGACGCCGCGAGCATCGCGGGCGGTGCCCCTCCCCTTCCTCCGCAAACCCCGGCTGAGCTGCGCCGCCGCTAGGGTTTGTGCTTCGGTTCTCTTCCCCAACTGCTCGGAGGCGGGCGAGGCAGCTCAGTCCGTGGAAGCCGCAGACACTGGCAGGTGGGGCCCAGTGTCAGACTGAGAAATGAAGCTGGATCTGTAGGCCAGGCCTTAGCATAGGCCCAGCTTCCGATGTGAAAACTAGGCCCGGTTTTACAGGCCGGATTCACAGAAGGCCCTACTCGTAAAAGAAAGTCTAAAAATCAAAAGCACATATGCCGAAATTTTAAGGAACTTTTGCGAAATTACAGGTGAATTTTCAGTACATGTGTCGGAAGCAAAAGGTTCACAAAACCGACAGTAACTGCTCGGTTTTCGACCTTATCAACAGGGCGCGTATTGGTATAATTCGATGGGATTCAGCAGAATTGGTAAAATTCGACGAAATTCAGGTGGTTACAAGCTAACTCTGCTTACACACTTGCATTTACAGGCAAGTACAAACACATGGCTAAGGAGTAGTACAAATGTAGTCCGTACGATGCCACTCCTACTCAAATGGTGTAATCCGACCACTCCAGCATGAAGGAGGCATGGTCCATGGATTCACCGGCCGGCGCGCCGCCGCGCTGGTCCCCGCCGAGCAGCAGCCTCGCCGGGTTCCCCACCGCCGTGGCCCCCGGCGGCACGTCGGCGAGCACCAGCGACCCGGCCCCGATCTTGGCGCCGGCGCCGATCCTGACGTTCCCGAGGATGGTCGCGCCGGCGCCGATGAGCACGCCGTCGCCGACCTTGGGGTGCCGGTCGCCGACGGCCTCGCCGGTCCCGCCCAGCGTGACGTGGTGGAGGATGGACACGCCGTCGCCGACGACGGCGGTCTCGCCGATGACCACCCCGGTGGCGTGGTCCAGGAGGACGCCGCTCCCCACGGCGGCGGCCGGGTGGATGTCGACGGCGAAGACCTCGGCGACGCGGGACTGGAGCGCGAGCGCCAGGGCGCGGCGGCCCTGCGCCCAGAGCGCGTGCGCGACGCGGTGGGCCTGGACGGCGAGGAAGCCCTTGTAGTCGAGGAGGCAGTGGGAGAGGCGGCCCGCGCAGGCCGGGTCGCGGGCGCCCGCGGCTAGGAGGTCGGCGGCGGCGGCGGCGCGGAGGTCGGGGCGCGCGGCGTGGGCGGCGGCGAAGAGGTCGTAGAGGAGCGTGGAGGAGAGCAGCGTGGAGGAGGAGGCGAGCTTGTTGGCGAGGTGGAAGGCGAGGGAGCCGGCGAGGGTGGGGTGGGAGAGCACGGTGGCGTACACGAACGACGCCAGCGCCGGCTCGCCGTCGGCGTCGCGGCGCGCCTCGGCCTTGATCTGGGACCACACCCGCGACTCCTCCTCCTCGTCGTCGGCGTCGGCGTCCGGCTCCGGCGGGGACGGGTCATGCTCGTGCTGGAGTGGCTGGGCGGTGGTCATCGCTGAAGTCTCGTCGTCGTCGGCCGGTGACGTCGACGCCGGTGAGGTCGCCGTCGCCGGGCGGGACGCGCGCGGGAAGAGCGAATAAATAGGCGTGGAGACGGACACGTCAGCCAACCAATCAGAGCTCGAAGCTGGTGTGGTGTGGTGTACACGATGACGTGGCACACGGACACGCTTCGACCAAGTGATCCAACGGCGCGAGCTGCACCTAGGCTGAGGGCACGCAGCGGCAGACTCTGGTCAACAGCGACCTTGATAGCCAACAGAAACTAACGGATTTGGATCCGGTGCAACACCTAGTGTGAGCAGTCACACTAGGAACTTTTGATGCAAATCCAAGGGTCTAGAATCTACAAAGTACTGTTCACATCTGAAAAAAACTGCAGAACTACTGTAGCAGCAGCACTATAGCATCAGATCTAGACCGTTCACTGGAAAAATGGATGACTGAGATGATGTGCAGTTCCTAACTCGCAGCCACAGTTAGGACTGCAGTGGATCTCAATTCGAAACTAACACATTGCACATTTTGGAAGATAAATAAATACTCTCTCAGATTTTTTTAATAAATGACACCGTTGACTTTTTTCAAAAGTCACATGTTTGACCATTTGTGGTATTCAAAAAATTTACGTAATTACAATTTATTTTGTTGTGAGTTGTTTTATCACTTAAAGTCTTTTAAGCATGATTTGCATAAAATTTTTAAGTAAAACGAATGATGAAACTGAAACGTATGTTTAAAACTCAATGACATCACCTATTAAAAAACCGAGGGAGTACTGTATATAGGCAGAAAGGCAACAGAGAACCAGAATACTATTTTCATTGTGCAGAGCTACTCCTAAACAAGTTACTGCTCCTACGCACTTGTTCCTTACATGTACTCTTCGTCCTAAAATATAACATATCGGACATTTTTAGAACTATCCTACGCTGCTATATTTTGAGTGCATTTCTAGCGGATCACCAAATTAAGCACAGCAGTTCAAACGCAGATGGCGAAACAACATCGGCAAATCACCGAACTAGAGTTTTATGGACTCTGCCTCGCTTTGGACGAAGACGGAAGTGGTAGGAAGTTAACTCCAAGTAGATGGAGAGCTGATGATATGCCCAGAATTATGTATGATTCATCCCTGAACAAAGAGGAGAAAAAGTTAAGAGAACTACAGCAACTAGAGAATTGGATGCCCTCTATCTATGATGAGACCAACATGATTCTCTTTGAATTTTTTTTCCTTTTTGGAGTAGTGCCTCACACAGTTAAGAACTGAGATTTGAATTTAACATAAACAGAAAATAACAGTTGATTGTAGGTGCCTCTCCTTCTAGCAGTGCATTTCCATTTTCCTCCTTGAGAACACTTTTTTCTAGTATTTTTGCAGGTTAGGCGGTTAGGCCCCTTCGCTGTACATTGATTCTGAATGGCCTAAACTTTCTGCCATTGCACCATTGCAAAAACCAGAAGATTGACCGGTATCATTTCCATTTCCATTTAAGTTTATGTGACTAAGTAAATTTTCTACTTCACATGTCAACTTATCTACCCCACTTTCCAAAAACTGAAGCGCCTTTTCTGACATCGAATATCTTAGAGCAACTGAGTGCATCTTTTGAGATATACGCGCACATCTTAACATCGAACTTCCATTGCCGCTTTGGGAATTGTTTCTGCAGCCAAATAGTCCGGCTTTTGCATATTTTGTCCACCTTTTGTAAACATAGTGTGAGGGGAATGTAAAAATATTGCTGTAGTTAAGGACTCGCAGCGCGTGCTTGCATAGCATACCTACAAAAACATGCAATCTCCGATTATAGCAAGAAAATCAAACTTTTACGTTTTGGAAACATAACCAATATGGTAGCATACCTGTGCACTCATACATCCTGCAAGAACATGATACTGTTGTATCCTCAGAATTAAAAACAACATATGCTTCTTCTTCAGAATTTAAAGGTGTCAATTTGTAAGTACTGATTGTTCTGTCTTGTGATAGCAACGAACAAGACAGAGTGAACAATTTTTTGAATTCTTCTTCAAAATGCGAATACAAATTCCTTGTATAGGACTCAGCAGCCGTCTTCAACATAGGCAAATCAGGAACATAGGGAACCGGACTGGTTTGACGGGAATTATAATCTGCTTCTAGTTCATTTTGGCGGAAACTAGTTATGCACTTCTCATACTCCTCTAAGAATTCTGGAAGGCAGAGTTTCCTCCGAAAATTCTTCAATGCATCACTTGTGCCTTCAGCATTTTGGATTGTCATCATGTCAGCGTAAAATGAGTCACGGGAATACACAGCAGCCCACTTTTCACGCATTGCATATAAATTATTCATCCAATCATTGCCGTCTAGATTATATGCGTTAACCAATTCCTTCCACTTCAAGTCAAAGAACGTTACAGACCTTTCTTCATAGATACGTCTCTTAAAATCAGATAGAAATTCTGGATGGTTGCAAATTACGTGATTCAAATGCTTAACAGCATTATGACAGATATGCCGCAAACACAGGCGGTGACTTGAGTTTGGAAACACTAACCTAACAGACTTTATTATTTCAGCAGAGGGATCTGTGAAAATTGTTGCCGGTTGCTTCCCAGACATTGCCGTAAGGAAGGTTTGAAACAGCCAATTGAAAGACTCTGAAGATTCATCATATATCAGCGAAGCTCCAAACAAAATGGGTTGTTTGTGATGGTTAGTCCCCACAAATGGAGCAAACGGCATTTCAAACTTGTTTGTTTCAAATGTTGTATCAAAAGACACGACATCACCAAAACAAGCATAATCCACAATAGCTTGACAATCTGTCCAGAAGAAGTTTGCTATTCGACCATCATCATTCAGCTGAACTGCATAAAAAAATGAAGGATTTTCTGTTTGTTTGTTCTTCAAATACTCAAGCAATTTCTGTGCATAACTTGGTTGGAGGTACTTTCTCTGAGTATCTTTCTTCAGAAGATGCACATTTTCAGCTCCCCTGGACCATTGCCGAAATACTCTTTGCATATCAGCTGCTGTAATACCTTCTTGCCGCATTTCATTCACTATCTGTTGATATGACGGTGTCAAACGGCGCTGGGACCTTAACATGTGTGACTTATCAGGACTTACGAGATAGTGCTTATGATCGAGCTCAACCTTCTGCACTGTCCAGATACCTTCTCGGGAAATATAGAACTGAAGACGAGCCTTGCAATCAGATCTTGTTGAAGAACGTTTCTTCCGCCCCGGCTGGGTAGTGCTTGCCACCGGCTGCCCTTCATTGCTGCACAGGAAATATTTGGAGCAAAGACTCCCATCCGCCCTAGTATTTGCGTGGTTCTTCCGGATACTAAACCCAACATTTCTAGCATAGGAGTTGTAGAAATCATAAGCTTCGTTCTCTGAATTAAAGGTCATCCCCACTTTTGGCACACAGTTAGGTAAACCACCTTGATCATGATCCTACACAACATGGATGGTAAAATAAAAATAAGAAAGATGTTCACTTTAGGGACAACAAAAATACTAACAATGTTCAAACTGTCAAGGAATAATTTGGTTTGGTGACACCGAAAGATCAAATTCGTGTATATTGAACATAGAAATATCCAGGTACACGTGTCCACTTATTTTTTTAATAAAATACTTCATCCGTTTCACAATATAAGACTTTCTAGCATTGTCCACGATTTATATGAACGTGAACAATGCTAGAAAGTCTTACAATATGAAACGGAGAAAGTACATAATTGCTGCAAGCAAAATCATTCTACTGCTATACCTCAAATGAACAATGAGCAATATCAAGAGGACATCAAAATCAAGCCAAACCAAAGGTCATTACCCCAAGCTGAGGAGTCACCGCGGGGGGCAGCCCGCTAGCGGAGGGCTCACGACCGCCGGCGGGCACCGACGAGGAGGGCGCCGGCGGATCGCTAGCGGCGGCGGAAACGGGGAGCGGGCCAGAGCCAGGGGAGGGCTCGCAGGGCCCTTGAGCCGTCCAGGCGAGGGGAACGACGGGGCCGGACATCGCCGCCGGCCCACTCGCGGTCGGGGGCGCAACGTCGCCGGCGGCGAGCGGTTTAGGGCACGGGCGGAGAGGGAAATCCTGCGGACGCCGACTCGCTTCGCCCCATGGCGTGGCGCGGTTGTTCACTTCCGCTCCTCCGTCAAATGGGCCGAATGAGTTGGTGTGCTGGGAAGATATTGTGCCTGAGATAAGAGCAAGTTTAATAGTATAGCCTACCATGGGCTCCAAATCATCTGCAGGCGATTTAATAGCCAATTCATATAATAGTTACATATAAATATATACTACATAATTAATATCTGGTTCCATCTGTCATACACACATACATCTTGAGTCCGTGCTGCAACTGACTATAAATCTGTAGCCCGTTGCTTATCTCTCTCATCTTTTATCTTCTCGAAATGTGTTTATAGATGGCTTATAGTCTACTATTGTACCTGCTCTAATAAGGATAGATGAGAACCCAACAATGTATATAAATACAGTACATGTAACTAGAATATTACTTGTATGCAATTTTTAAAAATCCCAACGGTATCATGCTATTTCCACGAATCGGAGGTCGTGGGACCGAATCCCTTCACCTATATGCATGTTGTGATTTTCTCTTCCTTATTTGCACGAATCATGAAGCAAATCCAACTATTCAAAATCACACGAAAGTTACATAAAAGTCACGGTGTAATTGTATAAAAGTTACACTACGATTATACTGTAATATTTAGGACAGAATTTATCGATAAATATATAGCAAAATCGAAACTTATTTGGATTACACAAGAAAATTGAAACAACTTTTAGGTTTCTAGACTGTAAAATTAATATAGTTCTTGTTTATAGGGAAGAGCGCGTGTGCGTTTATACAAGCATTTTACGTCTGTGCTTAAAAAAAAAAGCTCTTATAATTTGTATGGTGGTACTAGCAGTTGACATTCTCTCAAATTTAAAATCCGAGGGAGTATTTTTTTTAATTACATGACGGATACACACCACTGCACATGCAAAATTACACTCATACTCCGCATATGCACTTAGGGGTGAAAATGGTCGGAATCGTACCATCTCTTTGGAAACGACATTTGATTTAACCGGTAATTGATCATAATTATCATTTAAACTACTCAATATCGACATCACTATGATTTAGAAAGAAATTAGAAAAAACAAAATTTATATATAGCCAAAAAGGGTAATGGTCGAAAACGGCGCTCGGTCGATTGGGAATTTCCGTGACCATTTTCACCCCTATCCGCTAACACACGGATTTAAATCCTAGTTGGTGGAGTCATGCACCCACGATTTCACCATCATATCATCCCCCAAGGGAGTATTTTTGTTAATGGTTAGAACATTTCGTGCAGTCATTTTCGCACTTCTAGAATACTAGCCGTCGAGACGTCGACGGTGATATGATATCATATGATCCTACGAAAAATCATCCATAGAAGAGTTTCTTCCTCGTCATGTGTCAGTCGCATTCACTGCGTGGTCATGGACTGCAACTGACTTGGAACATCTTGTCAGGTCAGGAGCACATTCACAAACTTGCCTAGTCTTTCCTTGACGATTCAGCAACAACGACCCAAAAGAAACCCAGATCTTTTCATGATTATTTCACCGGACAACTCCCATTTCTGTACGAACTGTACACCGATCAAAGTTCAAGAAACCCCAAAAAAAAAGAGAAAAAATACTGTACATTAATCGGATCATGCTTTGGAGTTCTTCAGCTCAGATGTATTTGCCACAATAGAATGTGCAGAGAACACGAAAAAAAAGAAAAATCTGATTTCTGAACGTTGATGAGAGCAGCAGAATCGATCACTGTGTGAATGTGAAGCTTAGGCCTCGAGGACTTGGCAATGGAGGACGCGGTTCTTGGCGCGGCCGCGGCCGCCGGCGATGGCGGAGAGGAGATTCGCGACGAACGCCTTCATCTGCCCCTTGCCGACGACCGTCTCCCACCGCGGGCTTGCGGCGGCGACGTCGACGACGGAGACGCTCATGTCGTTCCGGACGACGCAGAGCTTCCCGTGGAGGGCGACCATGGCGGCCGCCTCCACCGCGTGGGAGCTCCCCGCGTGCTGCCCGCCGTCGACGCGGCCGCTCCACGCGCCGGCGGCCTCGTCGTAGGCGCGCAGGCGGCACCCGTCCTTGCAGTCGGCGGCGTAGAGGCGGCCGCCGAGCGACGCGCTCGGGCTCCTCCACCCGGTCACCATGGCATCGAGCTCGTGCGCCGCCGACCACGCGTCCGCCTCCGGCGAGTACACCTGGCTCATCACCTGCCGCTGCGCGCCCAGCCCCTTCACGTACCACCTCCCGCCGTGCACCGCGCTGACGAACGGCATCAGCGACGCCGCCATGTCGGACACGAACGACCACCGGTTCTTGGCCGGGTCGAACACCTCCACCGACCTGAGGCCACCACCACCACCGCCGCCAACGCCGCAACCCTCGCCGCCGGCGACGTACAGGCGGTTGCCCATCACGCAGCACCCGAAGCCGTGCCGGCGCCGCAGCATGTCCGGCGCGCGGTGCCACCGGTTGCTCCGGGCGCTGTAGAACACCACCCGCCGCATCGGCCCCCGGCGCGGGTCGCTGCCGCCGAGCAGGTAGAGGTGGCAGCCGCCGAGCACGGCGCAGCCGAACCCGGCGGCGCCGGCGTACTCCCCCGGAACGGGCGGCAGCGCGCGCCACGCCAGCCGCGCCGGGTCGAGCACGTCCCACGACACGCGCCCCTCGCCGTCGCGCTTGACGGCGTACACCCACTGCTCGGCGAGGCCCAGCCGCCGCCGGAGGCCGTAGAAGTAGTTGCCGGCGAGCAGCCGGGACCACCTCCTGCACACCAGCCTCAGCTTCCAGTGATCACCTCGCGGCACGCGGATGAGGCACGCCACGGCGAGGTCGTCGGGGAGACCCGGGATGAGCGGGCACTGCCGGCCGCCGCCGCCACCGGCGCCGCCGCCGCCGCGGTGGTCGCGCCCCGGCGATCTCTTGGGCTTGAGCGGGTGGATGGACGCCCTGAGGCTCGGCTGCGCGCACGCCTTCGCCCTCGGCATCAGCCTCGCCGCGGCGGCGCCGGCGACCGATCTCTCCACTCTGCACAAGCATGCTGAGCTATCAACCTATATCCAATCACAAACACAAGCAAAAGAGAGTTTCAGGTAGCTGAACAAAATATCACAATTTTGCATTTTGTATGCAAGTTTGTAGTGCAAAAATGCCGCGTAAATCTTCTGCGTGTTCGAAAAAGAAAAAAAAAACAATGTGAGGTAGGCAAAATGTTTTTCACACAATGGATGTGTGTGTTATAATTTTTGTGCCATTTGGGGATTTTTTTTTTTTTTGGTTTTGGTACAGTCATACAAACCTGGTAATTTGTTTACATAATTTACATTTTGCAATCACAACTTCACAAGACAAGAAAAGGAGTTCGGGTAGCTACACAAATATTGCAATTTTGCATGCAAATTTGTAGTGCAACAATGTCGCGTATAATCTTTTGCGTGTTTGGAAAGAAAAAAAACAATGTGAGGTAGGCAAAATGTTTTTCAGGCAATGGATGCGTATGTGTCATAATTTTGGTTATTTTCGGGGATGAAAAATCCTGGTTTTTATTTCTTAAAAGTGACTGCTAATTGGTGAATGATACCTAGAATGATGAGACAAGAACATAAGACAGACAATGGTGTCATGAAACAACAGCTACTTACAGAAACAGTTGAACTACCCTGTGGGGGACCATGTCTCTTGTTGTTTCAATTTCTAACCTTCTAATAAATGATTAGCACTCCCAACTATTCCCAAATCTAGTGTTACCATCCTGCTAATTTTGGAGTTTGCACGGCTAATTGAAGAGATTTTCCCTTGAAGAAAAAGAAAGTTGCTTTGATACAATCATGCAAACCCAGTAATTTGTTGACCTAATTAATTTACAATTTGAAGTATGAAATGGATTTTCCTATCCACAAACAGTTCAGGTTCTTTCAATATGCAGTGCTCTGAGGAACTCTATGTGAACTGATCAACCAAAACAACTTCACAGTTCACACTGATGAGCACAAGGCATGGTGTATCTTCTATTCTTCTAACACAAAAACACCAGCCAAGCAAGCTGAAAAATTCAGTCCAACACAGAGCCATGAAACCCTCTAAAATTTCTGACCAAAAAAATCAATCCTAGGATGGCACATCCATGCAGAAACATGCAACAATTTCATGGAGAAAAACACAAAACAAATACAGAGAAGAAAAAAAAAAGAAAGTAAGACTACTCACCGGAGGAGCTTGGTTCCTTCTGTCCATGGCCTGTCCCTGAAGCAAAGTATCAAGAAACCACAGCAGCAAGAACAACTACTCACCACCAATCACCCAGATATATATATACATAATCACACCAAAATCATCACCATGCTTCTACAGCTCCAACACCCATTGCACATGATTCATGAACAGAAGAGGGTAAGAGAACTGCAAAACCTCCCAACCAGAAGCCTCTCCTTTATGCTGGTTGATCATCAGGAGGAGGAAGAAGAAGAAGAAGAAGGGTCAAGGAGAAGACATCAGATGAGAAGGTGGTGGCACTAATAAATGGAGACCACCTCTCACATTAAAAGCCTGGGGCCTGACATGTGGGGCCCACTGCACAGTCTCAGGTTACAGCACGGCCATGGACAAATCTTCATCCCTTTCTCTTGCTTCACAGGTCAACCACCTTTGTTTGTTTGCTTCGTTAAATTTTCTCTCTCCCAGGATAATCCCCTGGGTTATTTTTTTAATTTTTTTTATGCACACCATAACAACATGCTTTGCTGCTCTCTTCTCCTTTCTGTTATTCAAATGTGACTTTTTTTTTAAGGTAGCTTCTACTCCCCTCTAGGTAGTGACAGTTTCTTTGTTCTTGTTGCTGTCTGTACGTTTGACTGCTGCTGTTCTTGCAAGTTGATTTCTTTATTATTAGAGGCCTTGATTGCAATTTTCCTAGCCAGTAGCATCACTTTCTGGTTATGCATGATTGACCCCTTCTGCATGATGATGGCAAAGCAAAGAACATTTAGCAAAGAAACTGGTGCATGATGACGGAACCTTTCAAAGGTGGCAGAAGCAGACAAAGAGAAGAACACCAAGAGATTAATGTCAAAATTGTAACTGATCTAGAACAAGCACACGCCATCAGCTTGAGTTCCTTGGGATCAAAACAAGGGGAGGAATGGATGGATGAAAGAGGTATCAGGTCACAGGGCTGCACCTGCCAACACCAGATGTGTGGGGTTCTGATTGTGCAAAATTTAAGTTAATTTATTTTTCAGGTAGATAGATTAGATTTGTATTCAGAAGTTTTTTTTTAAAAAGTTGGATAGATCAGATACATAGCCAGAAGTTGATTCACTTTGAAATTAAGGGAGTGAAAATTTGTGAGAGTCAGGGAGGACGGTAAAAAAAAAAACAACATGCACGGTTTAGTGATGTTCACATCGTAAGAAATTTGACTAAAATCATCCCAAGACGTGTCAACACATGCCTATCGATTAAAATGAAGAAGAAATCTGACTAAAATCATCCTAAAATGTGTCGACACATCTGTGAGTGGTTCAGATCTATTTTGGCATATGCACGAGAGACCTTTTCAAAGGGGGCCTGGTTAAATTGACACTTGACCGTTGATGTTTATTTTACTGTTCCAGCATGACTTTGGATTTATCAAAGCCTAAAACGACGTTAAATGCGTGAAAAAACCGGCAAATTTCGTGTGTTAATCGCGATAATTGCATGGAAATTCATGGGTTCTGCTAACTGTGAGCACTAGTACGCATCAGCCTGGGTGAAAAATGCAACCAAAGCAAAGGTGAAAATGAAACAGAGATTGACAATTACTGAACTCACAAAACTGTGCAGAAGCAAGGGAAATCAAGTTCAGTGTAGACTGTGCATGCATTCGTCACAAAAATGTCATGTAAATGTAACGCAAATCGAACACTACATTTCGGAATTCTGAACATTGGATTATGTAACATAAATAGTCCTAAACATCAGGTAGTTTGGTATATTATCACCATCTGCACAACCTAGTATATTTCCCATTTAATTACCCCAGTTTCTTTCCGAGAACTTTTACAGTACATTGTAATGTAAGTATATACTACCAGTATATAATAGGGTAGATTTGGTATTTGTTAAAAATCTTAAAAGGGTTGTTTAGTCATTTAAAATAGAGATTTATTTCCATCGGGTGAATTTTAATTCCTTCGTTTCTTTTTTTTCTGGATCTCGTGATCCACGTAATTTGAGCAATTTTTTGCTTTGTAATTTGAGCTTGTAACAGCTGTTTATTTCAGCCCAACTCTATACTGCATTGCTCCAAAAAATTGTGCTGTCTGAACATTCTTCTTTCAAGGCCTTCTCTGGAAGACTAGAACGTGGGAGTTGAATGGATAGTAGTCACAGAATTGTTCATACATTAGTTATATTGGTATGTAACCATGCTAATTACATTAGTTATGCTAATTATGCCGCCCTGCCGCTGCCACCTGCCGCCGCCGGGCTGCCGCTGCCCTGGTCCTCGAACGCGCTGATGATGCCGATGACGAAGGCCGTGGAGAAGGACTGCATCGCCATGCTGTTGGGCGTCCTGTGGAACTGGAGCAGCGCCGGGAAGAAGGCGTGGCCCTTGAGCTGGTTCGTGCCGTTGGTCAACATGAGCAGCCCGTTCGGGGTCACCGTCGCCATGCCATCGAAGCTGAGATTCGCGGCGGTGAACCCGTTGAGGACAAACTTCTCGTCGCCCTCCGCCTCCCGCAAACCTCCGCAGCCCGCTGGTGCCGCCTCCCGCAGACCCGATTTGGGGATTTTCAGAAGAACTAGGTTTTGGGTGAAGAAAGGGGGAAGGAAATCGAATCGATTCCCGATGGCGGCGACGCCGATTGTGGTTGTCGACGGCCGCGCGGCGCGGCGTGCTCGCAGAGGCAGTCAGCGACGGCGGTCGCCCATGCGCGCGGCTTCAAGAAAAAATCGCTTTGACTGGGCGCAAAAGGCCAGATCTGACTAGGTGAGAAACGCGAATTTACAAAATTACCCCTCACGCAAATAGATAAAAAGATAAATATACCCTATTCAATTTATACTGCAGAATAATTGGGAGAAATATCAGATGAATTTACACCGTTAGATCAAATATACTGGTAGTATATACTTCAAGAAGAATGTACCGTAAAAGTTCTCTTTTTTTCCCTGGGTTAATCCAACCAAATTAAGTTCCAAGTTCTAGGATCAATTCAAACCCAGAAGCATATTCGAGCATAAAGTGTTCTACTACTTGCTGTCATCTTCTCCTCTATTGACCCTCTCCACTAGCAGTGCTACCTGGCCCTCTTCTGCTCACAGTTGTATTCTTCAGTATCTGCACAAGGAATCCGGAACATTTTTCATCTGAGGAATCATTTTCTATGGTGCTTAAAAGAAGAAAAATAAACAGGAAACAACTATTTAAACTTGTAAAACTTGTACCACACGAAAAAGATGCATTAGAATTAGGAATTTTACCTGTCTGAGCATCTGGTTCTCATTCTGTAGGGTGGAGAATCTTTCTTCCAACTCTGAGTTCTTCTTCTCCAAGTCCTTCACCTTCACCTCAAGATCATTCAAGTATGCCTTCTTTCTCTCCCTTGCCTGCTGCGCTGATACCCGGTTCCTCAGCAACCTTAATATTTATAGACACAATAAGCAAACCATATTTGACACCAATCCTACATTACTAACAATGTACACAGATATCTTTATTCTAAACTAAAATGTACACAAATGTATTAATTTAAAACGAGTTGACCAAAGAATAGAAATTTGGAGATTGACAATTTTTACAATAGATTTTTTCAGGAATATGCAAAAGATTTGTATATCATTGTATTGAATTTCAAAGAAGTTACAGTAGGCAAATCAAAAGGCCATACTCTCGTGGTACAATTGCAGGACCAAACAATTGAAAAAAATAGATTATATACTCTAAGCTATCATACAATTCATATTATTATGACAACCAATTCAAAAATAGAGTTCAAATACGACACAAAGAAAGCTGTCACCTGCCTTTGGGATGGCAAAACAAGAAGTTTATTATGTTAATTCAAACAAATTGTTACAATAAACAGCGGCAGGTTAACATAGTATAGTCTTAGCTAAAATAATATATTTGTCCATTACAATATTATGTGTTTATATAAGTGTATCAGTGTGCAGTCATACTGTTGATGTTACTGAGATAACTAACTCAAGTTTCATGTGGTAACAAACTGTTGATATAATGGAAGCACATTATATTATACTGATGCAAACATAACGTGACACTCCTTTCCTTTTTACAAGAATATAACACTACTCCCATTGATATCAAAAGCTCAAAATTGGCTGCATAGCATGCATTGCGATTTGCAACACTGAATGAGATAGGTTGGGGGGGGGGGGCAATTTATAGTGAGATATCAATAGTATCATATATGATGTGCCCACAACTGTTCTCTTCCCATCCACTTGTTTCCCAACCTAACTATCTAGATGAGCACGCATGCGACACATGACATCGATCGTACACTGCGTCCAACTCACCATGAAAGCTAGCTAGCTAGGAGCAATGCTTTACAGAGATATGTAACCTAACCCCATCGATTTCATCAGGATTTAAATTCAACCCCTCTTTTCTTCATCACTCCTAAACTCCAAACTCCAATCAACACATCATACTCCAAGATCTCGCCGTTTCGATCGATTATCATCGCAAATTCGGTGTTCTTGCTCCATATTGTTTAATCTTAAACCATGCATGAGCCCAAGCTCAACAAGCATTAACTATTTTCATATCTTAATCTCCATCGAATCCAATATGATCTAATTCTAACCACTAAGTATTAAATATAGATAGCCATACACAACTTACTCCAATGATCACAGCCCTTTTGGTTTAATCTCATGAACAATTATAAGCAAAACAACAACTGTATTTGTACACATAAACACAAAGGGAAGAACTATCAAAAGTACTCTAGTAAATATAAAGGCGGGCACCTTTTGAGGCGCTTGTGCTCCTTATCCGCGGGGCTGCGCCCGCGGCGGCGCGCGCTGGCCTGCGCCGTCGACGACTGCGCGCGCTCCGCCCCGCCGCCGCCGCCGCCGGCCGCCCTCCCCGACGTCGAAGCGCCGCCCGGCTCCAGCCCCAGCTCCGGCACTCTCCCTATCTCCTCGTCGCTCTCCATTCCTGCAAAACCAAATCAATCTCCCATACCACACAAGAACCAAAAAAAATTTCTCTTCCAAGAAACAGAAGTAAAATGAAAATCAACCAAAGAATCCGAACCCGAAAGAGGAACAGTAAAATGGAAATCAAGAAAGGGAAGGAGAAGGGATCGAAGTGGCGCTTCCTTGCCTTCCTTGATCTCCATGTGGTGGCCGCCGGAGCTGGACGACCTCTCGGAGCTGGACGGCCGCGAGCTCGTCGCCTGCTCCTGCATTCTCGCCGGCGAGGAGGGATTCGCGTGCACTCCTCCGCTTGCTTCAGCTTCAGCTTCCCCACTCTGTCCTCTCCTCTCGTCCTTGCTGCTTGCGTGAAGCATGGACCATGAGAGCTTTTTGGCTTTAACTCCACATGTATATTTCACAAAAAACCCCCTTAAAAATACAAGTACTCTACATATGTACCCTTACTGTTTTACAATATAGTCCTTACGTTGTCTAAGTGGAGAGGGAAAAGGGGCTATTTGATGATTGTACGAGAGATAGAGGGGTTACATGGAAACCCATCCTCCAGCGACGGCATTTATTGCGTCCGTGGGGTTTGGGTTTTAAGCCGCGCGATCCCAGCCGTCGAACCCGGCAAGATCCGACGCCCCCGAACGCCTCCACGTGGCCACCCGCGAGACCATGCAGCGCGGGGCGCCATCCAAAGGCGCGGAGGCCCGCTACGTGGAGGCGCCGCGGCCGTTCCCGCCCCCGCCGATCACACCGACACGCGGGGCCCACGTACGCTCTGGCCCATGCGTCAGCGACTCGCGCGGGGCGCTTTTCACCTGGCGCGCGTGCCGCGGGAGAGGGAAGGAGGGGATCGGTGAGAGATGCGCGTGTTGTCGCCATGCGTCGCAGGGCTCGCATTCACGGCGGTAAGAGCACGTAGAATAGCAGGGCTATAAATATTTTTTAAAAAGATAAAAGAGCACGTATAATAGTAGGGCTATAAATATGTTTTAAAAAGATAAAAGAGCACGTACAATAGCAGGGCTATAAATATATTTTAAAAAGATAAAAGAAAAGACAGAAGAGTAGCGGGCTATAGATCTGTATCCAGCTATAGCACAGACTTCAAAACGCAATGTGTGTATGATAGATGGGATCATATATTAATATATTAATAGTATAGTAACCAACTATTGCATTAATAGACTATTAGATTGATGAATTGGAACTAACATTGGGTTATACTATTAAACTTATTGCTCTGATAGCGCGAGGAACGAACGAACAACAGTGGGAGTGGTGGGCTGGTGGCCTGGCCTGCACATGGGCTAAATTTAGGCCCTGTTTACTTTGCGGAAAGAAATTTTTTGGTATTACATCGGACGTTTGATCGGATGTTGGAAGGGGTTTTCGGATACAAATAAAAAGGCTAATTTCATAACTCGTCTGGAAACCGCGAGATGGATCTTTTGAGCCTAATTAATCCATCATTAATACATGTGGGCTACTATAGCACTTATGGTTAATCATGGACTAATTAGGCTCAAAAGATCCATCTTGCGATTTCCATGCAAACTGTGCAATTAGTTTTTTGTTTTTATCTATAGTTAATGCTCTATACATGTGTTTAAAGATTTGATGTGATGTTTTTAGAAAATACTTTTTGGAAACTAAACTGGGCCTCATGAGTGGGAGTCTGCTATAAAAGTTCGTTCAATCAAAGTGAATTTACCTATGTCTATCCACACTGGGCCTGTTACAAACACGACGTGTCATTCCGGAGCACGCCGGCGGTGAGCAAGCGGCAAGAGCACTACCAGTGGGTGGCGCGCAAAGATAGCCGGGACAGAGAACTCGATCGCCGGCGACGCCCACGGTGAACACGCCGGCGCCATGTCCTGCGCCCGCCCGGGACTCGTCTTCTCCGGCGGCGGCGGTGGCTTCCACTGGGCCTGGTTGGGGCAGCCGACGACCGTGATGCTGCGCCGAACCTCTTTCTTTGCTGGGCTGGAAGGAGGAGAGCAGCCCACTACTCCTATGGATCTTAGGCCTTCACCATTTGTTTGTCATAAACTTATGTACCGACCGAAACCATATATCCAACACGATTTTGCTGTACATCTATCGATGAACTCTCATAAAAAAAAACTTTAGTACTACCTTCGTTTTTTATGTGTGTGTGTGTGTGTGTGTGTGTGTGTGTATATATATATATATATATATATATATATATATATATATATATATATATATATATATATATATATATATATATATATATATATATATATATATATATATATATATGACATCGTTAACTTTTTGGTAAATTTTTATAAAAAAGTTACGCCCAAATAACATTTGATAATAAATCAAGTCACAACAAAATAAATAATAATTACATATTTTTTTAATAAGACGAATGGTCAAACATATATTAAAAAGTCAATCACGTTATATATTAAAAATAGAGGAAGACTATATCATTTTATGTAATTTGAACAGTTAGACACTACTTAAAAAACCATTTTTATAGACGATGACATTTTTTTCCATGCGGGTAGGCCTCTCAGAGCTAAATGGCTGCCTATGAAAATGACAACCGTGGGCGAGATTATCGTCCGCCTGCGAAAATAGATTTTCGTAGGAGAGATCTGCCTGCAAAAATACCTTTATTTTTGCAGGCGGACCTCTTAAGAGATCCGTCTGTAAAAACGGATCGGATAATATCCCATCCGCTCCGCTCCAAAACGAGGATATGGTATGGGTTTTTAGAAATCTGTCGCATACGAATGAGGATAGTATGAGGCGGATGCGGATGCGGATATGGTATCTCTAAAATATGGCGGATGCGGATTATCCGACATTTTTGTCGGATTATCCGATAAGCCGTTTGTCAGATAATCCGAAATTATCAACATATATAACCACTCTATCTATTGCATATAACATAAGTTGGTATATCCAATGCCCAAATTCATCAATTAACATAGATTTTTTAGACAAAAGGGCATGTAGCCTAGTGGTTAAAAGAGCTTCAGTAGCACCTGAGGTCCTGGGTTCGACTCCCCATGGGAGCGAATTTTCCATGATTTAACGGTGTTGTCCTTTCAGTGGTCGAACTTTCCATGATTTAACGGTGTTGTCCTTTCAGTGGTAGGCGACGTACCCGGCTCCTGTGGTAACTCTGTCAATCTCTCCAGGATTTGCCAGCCCAATCTTCGAATATGCTCATAGGGGTAGGGTTTGTGTGCGTGTGTTCATAGGGGTGAGTGCGCGTGTGTTGTGAGTGTCTGCGTTGTACTGTGTAATTCTCAAAAAAAACATAGATATTTTAGTCTAAGGCTTTTATCGTCGCATGTAGCTATATTTTTTATATTATGGACATCATGTATTCATGTTGTTTAGCACTTAATCGTATAATTATTACGATGGGTCATTTATTGATTATTGTATTATTGTTCCTTGGATTGCTAACTCGATGTTGCATTGATTGCATATACATGTAACATCCGATAAATTTAATCCGTTTTCGAACTGATTGCGCACTATTTCCGACATCCGAAACAATCCGCTCCGCATCCGCATCCATACCCGCTTCGAATTCGCTTAAAAAATATGGTTTAGGATATGGTATCAGCACTATCCGATCGAATCCGCTCCGTTTTCACCCCTAGATAGAGGTGGGTAGGGCGGGCGCGCGTGAGGTTGGGGTGGTGTCAATTTTTTTTTATTCGCCCAAAATATTTTTGCAAGCGGGTGGCTATGGCGCCTGCGAAGATGGAGATGCCTCCTGCGAAAACTTGTGCTTACAGGCAGGCCTTTCTCCACCTAAAAAAATGATTTTTTGTTGCTTGGGAAAACGATTTTTTGTGCTAGTGAGATTTGTTTTGAGCTTCGTGTAGGTAGGGAATGAAAAAAAAATCATGGCATGTGAACGGGTGAGGGCAAAGCATCCACGTACACGTCAGGCAATGAACCAGAACATCGGGTAAATAAACCTGAAGATAATTGGAAATTGTTTTTTAAAAAAAGATAATTGGAAATTGGAAAATGCCTCAACCTGGGTGGGCAAAGGTAGATCCTTTTGTGCTGCGTACCCGTGCCATATTAAAATGAACCACGCGGTACTACTCCCTTCATTCAAAATATATAAATCCAAAATCAAATTTGACATATAATTTAAACAAGCACCAGTTCATATAACTACGATGTCAGATGGAGTAGTATCAATCGAGCCAACCACCACCGCCGGTCGCCGTGATCTCAACGTATATTAATTAAACACAGACACAAATACTTCTCACCAACTCCAAGTGTTTGGTACGGTGAACAATTGCGTGTTCTGACGAGATTGTACTCGTACTCATCTACTCGTCACATGCCAATCTCTTTATCCATAAAGAAGTACTCACTCGCACAGTTGTACCTGTAGACTGTAGTACTCACTTACTCCAGAAAATTATCTTTTCTTTCTTTTTTTTTGACTGTCAAACGAAGAGTTGGATCGTCATAATCTTTGTTTGGTTTGGCTGCTTGTGTGTGTCAGCCAAATATAGTTTTCAATGTTGCATTATCAAAGTAGCTGACATACTCCCTCTGTCCAAAAATATAAGCATTTTTAGCATAGTAACAAGTCAAACATTTTAAACTTTAACTATTAATAGCAAAAATATAAAAAATATCAATCATGTAAAATTGATGTTGCTAGATTTATCATTAAATAAACTATCATAATATGCAACTCGTTTTATTTAAAATATCTTACTTTTATAGATATTGTTGGTTAAAATAGCATCTCGGAGACCGTGTCATAGTCAAAAATACTTATATTTTGGGACGGAGGAAGTAGATTTTATTGTTGAAGGTTGGATGACTAGAAAATAAGAAGAAACAGTAAGTCAAGTAAATTTGTCAGCAGGGCCTATGGGCGAACCTTTCCACGCTCCCACGAGTTGTTCCCCGCGCGGGTGGCTTGGGGCTAAAAAAACCCTAGCTGTCGCTGCGGCACCCCTCCCTCGGCCATCCACCTCGCCGTTGTCGGAGTAAGTCGCTGGACAACCGCGCGGTGAGCCATGATAGTCGTGGTGAGGTCTTTTCTCGTTGGCGAGCTATCCCTTGTGCGAGAGAGACGGTGCGGTGGCGCATGCGCATTGTAAGGCTGAGCAAGATGGCGGCGTGCGGCGAGGCTGTCATGGCGGTGCGGTGGCAGATACGCACAGGCTACGAGGCGGTTGCTCCCACATCCTCACTTCTCCCAGGCGAGCTCAACAACGGTGGGGCCGGCCAGATCTAATGCCTCTAGCCCGGGTTCAGAACTCGGTCACCGGTGTGGACTTGTCGACGATGGAAGTGGAGGTAGCATGAGGCGGCTCGAGGCAGAGGGGATCGGGGC